CTCCTGCGACTAGAGGAGACGTCTGAAATATCATGCTGACTGTAAACAGTATAGAAACTACTACGAATGTGAGTATTGTTCACTAAAATCCAAAGACAGGAGCCCTTATACTCTTCTTAAGTTCACAGAGCCGCCTAGTCTGTAAGTAATTCATGTTCAAAGAAAGCAAAGCACCTCAAGTAAGCAAATGTCGGTTATACATAAGGAGACTATATGTTGGCTTGAAATGAGCTACTTACCGACTTGGCTTGACATGAAATACTGCACCGACATTTCAGACCATTGCAGAACCGTAAATGGATAACCGCCAAATAATTAACTCACGGCAAACAATTACAAGAGGTAACTGTGTGAGGAAAGCTTAAAAAACCCCCCTCCTCGCGACCCATTTTAATATATTTTGAATTTAGAAGCAAACCTTCACTCGTTACTGTCATTTGCATGAACCCTCACTCGCCCAACAAATTTTAATTTGTTGCGACAAAATATTGTTTTCTCATACTCACAGAGGATATCAGTTTCTTTTTCTTGATTAATTGATTATTTTTCGTTTTTCTTTTGTTATTTTACGTTATTATTAATTTTTACAAAAATTATTTTATTATTATTATTTTACTAAATTTTTTTTCATGAAAATTATTTTTATTTTTTCATGTTCCGGGATGTTCCGGGATGTTCCGGAATGTTCCGTGTTCCGGGTTTTATCGACGGCCCACCGGAGCTCGGCCGGACCGTTAAGTGAGATTTATTTTGGGCGAGCTTTTTGACACGTGAAGCTGACAACCCAATGACCGGAAGTGATTTTGATTGGATGGTATCGAATCATGCTGTGCGAGGGTGGAAGGCTCCAGTAAAAGCATCTGTGTCAGGCGTTTCTTTCCTTCACCTCTCTTCCTTTTTCGCTTCCATTTTTCCCCTTTTCCCCAGAAACGCCTGATACTCAGGCTAAAGCAGAAGAAACTTGTTTCTCGCGTGGGTAAAACAATGAATGATTTTCGAGTAATCGGATACCCTTGTTTTGCGCACAGGATTCTGGGATCGCCAGGGGGCAAACATTGCGAGTCGCCACAAAGAAATGTATGGCGTGGAGCTGTTTCTCCGGTAAAAGCAGTGTCTTTGGACAGAGAATGCAACATTTTGCCGTGATTTTATGAGAAGCGGAGGTGACTAATGTTGGTGCGAAGAAATTGTAAGTTTTTGTGGGATCAATGCGATGAAATCTATCGATAAACACTGATTCTTGCGAAAGGTCGACTGTGAATTTACTGAATGGTCTCGAAATATATAGTACTAACTTAGGTATAAATGAGTGGGCAATGCGGACTCATTTAAGCCTTTCCAGTTGTACTTACATGTGCTCATATTTACAACGAGTGTAATTACGCTCCGCTCGGAGGCGATCTCGAAGGTAAGCTTATGTATTGTCGAATTTGATATGTATTAAATTTAAAAACAAAAACACCTTCCGCACATTAGTATATTGATTTCTTCTCGCCAAAAAAACACAAGCGAAATGTTTTGTCATGATCCTGAGAACCGATGAATTCTAATGCCTTTTCCAATCATTTGGAGGGAAGATATAGAATCTCTGAATTTCGCACATCAACTTGGTGTTTATTTTCACACTCACCGCTTTTGTATCGGAAATCTTACTCGTTTGTACGATTTTTGCCTCATCTACTAATGGTTAAATACCATGTACTTTTCATGAAATATTTTGTAGATGTCACTTTGTTTATACCAAAGTAAAGGAGGATTTTTTATTTTTATGGCCACGTAAATACCTATGATCGTTGTCTTGTCATAACCCGCAAAGCGCCGCACAGCGCTGATCGCGGTCGAGCGTAGTTACACTCGTCGTAAATATCACCACACGTAATTATAACTTAAACGCTTAAATGAGCCAATCCCCCTACATGTATACCTAAATTTGCACTATATATTTCGAGACCTTTTCTTCGAATTCTTCATGTCTGTGTAAATTCAGTGAACATAAATTTCACACTCAACCTCAAGGAGTGTTTATCGATAGAATTTTTCGCATTAATCACACAGAAACTTGAAATTTCAACACACCAACATTAGTCACCTCCGTTTCTCATAAAATCAAGGCAAAATGCGGCATTCTATGTCCAAAGACACTGCTTTTAACGCAGAAACAACACCACGCCATACATTTCTTTGTAGCGACTCGCAATGTTTGCCCCCTGGCGATCCCAGAATCCTGTGCGCAAAACATGGGTATCCGATTGAATGATTTTCCAGTAATCGTCTACAAAGTGACGTCATTTCTAGACGTACAACTATTGTTTGCCAGTACTTCTTGAAGTATAAAAACTACTAGCCTGCGTAAACATCCGTTTCTCCTCGCTCTTCGTCGCTGGGGACGTTTCGCGCGGAGGAACGTCTGCGACTCAACGACAGAAATTCCATACTGATGACGTAAAATCTGTCCGGAATCCGGTCAGAAGCGCTGATTGGTCGACGCAGCAGTTTCATTATGGCATGGGTCGCACTTGGGAAAAGTTTTCATCTTTGCCGGCTAAAAAACCACAAAAATTCGAAACCGCAACCGGAAAAGAAAACTTTTAGTCCAACCGAGGAGGGTCGCATTAGTGGGAGTTAATAGTTTTTGCTTTGACACATTGAGAACTTAAGAACGCCAGATAACAGAAAACATTTTTCTCTTCTTCATCCGCACCTCTGTCGAAGGATCTTTTTCCTCCATTCCCAGTTTCAGGAGGATGGGACAGATAAAGAAGACCGGAAAGTGCTTGAATGCGAATAGTACATTTGGCTTAGAGAATAACAAACCTGTGAAGTGTTTGCTTGTGTAGACGGGAACTCAACTGGTTCGCCTTCAATAGAGCTCGTTCCCGTAAAAACCTTAAAATAGCGAAGGTTTATAAGCCAGTGAAGTCCTTGCCTGTAGAGAGTTTTCGAAAAAAACTTGAAATGGCGAAGGATAGCCGAGTAAAAGCCTCTTCGCGAAGGTCTGAAAATTCGACCGCGTTTATTTTAAATTGATCGTGTTTCAAATGGATCACGTTCATGACAAGGGGCTGACAGTCACCGCTGTGATTCCTATTGTTTAGCTAGAGTTTTCCAAAATCTGCCTGCCCCACCCAAGCAATACGGCGTCTTTGATGTTTTTGCCGATTTTCAAAGTTTTTCCTAACTTGAAAACTCGGGGTCGCACTTAGCAATGTCCACCGATGACAGATTTCTACCGCAAGGTAAACAAATTCTCGCAAAAATTTGCCAAGTGCGACCCATGCCTATTTTAGCTATTGTTTATGAATGACAGACAAAAAACAAAAGGCCACAAAGGTCAAATGTAAACGGAAAGAATCTCTAACAAAACAGTCAATTTTTGTGGAATATAGGGCGCTTTCCATTCAGGAAAAAAAACCGGAAATTTCGGTGGTAGCAAAAGTGGAATTTCCGATTGGTAAAAAGTTGTTCCATTTGGTCGTAAACCCCGGTACGTGGCGGTGCCCGACCGTGGACCTGGAACTGGTACAAACTACGAGAAACGTAAATGGAACACGAGATTCCGTTCGGAAATTCCAACCGGGAAAACGGGACCACCTTTTTAGATTTTCCACTTTTTCTGGGAATTTTCCAGTGGGACGAACCGACGAAACGTGTTCCATTTACCGCCGAACCGGAAATTCCGGAAATTTTGAGTAAATGGAAAGCGCCCATTGACTTCTGTTGAAGAAGCATTTGAATTTTTGCTGGAGTTCGTGGGCAGATCAACACAACACTTTACCAAAATCGACCAGAAGACACGCAAAATTAGACAAATTTATATTTGGAACCCCATGACTACCGGATTTATTATGTAAACATTAATTTGCGTCATCAGTATGGAATTTCTGTCGCTGAGTCGCAGACGTTCCTCCGCGCGAAACGTCCCCAGCGGCGAAGAGCGAGGAGAAACGGATGTTTTCGCAGGCTAAAAAACTACTGTCTGTAGGTAAAACTTGACGAACACTGCGTGCTTGGAACTTATTCATAACAACACTTCGATCAAGCTTCTAAAAAATTCAAATTATCATTCAAATAATTTTCCCAAAGTTTTGATGGCAGTTGGTACGCGTGACCCACAAATAACTCCACACAGGCTCCTACTCCACATCGATTATTTGCCCTCTCTTGTCCGGCGATAAAATTTTGCGTAGCCTCGTCTGATACTTATTGTAGTTTACCTCGCACACCAGTGCGTAGTCATAACATTGACTTGTAACTATCGCGTGTTGTAACCTAAATGCGTGGAAAGACCTTAGATAAAAATGACCTCACGAAGGTTGGCGTCCAGCGGTTTTAGTGAAAACAAGGGTTTGACTGTCGTGCTCAGTCTCGCGGGCTCATAAAACCTTGTCTCGGTCATTCTTATTTTTAAAAGGATTTTCAAATGCGTGTACTGTGATACCAACGTCATAACAACAACATGTGACGCCATAATTGGATGTATCTGTTTTATCGTTGAGTGACCTTGCGTGCCAATATGCAAAATTAAAAACAAAAGAAGCTAAAAGAGAAGCGGTGATTTTTTTCAAAACCAAGGAGCCCTGTTCCGAGAGACTTCATTACTTTTTCAGTTTCAGTTCGTTCTATCTCTTTATTCGTGTGTTTTTAGTTACATAAATTAATGTAAAGATTTTTTTATGCTCTCACGCAGGCGTTCTTTTGGATTCTTTACGCCTTCCACCCCCACGGAAGGTGTGACAAAGCCCCAAGACGCTACGTCACTGCATGATAATTTAGTGTTGTCATTCTTGCAAATTAAAATTAGGATTCACATTTTTGTTACGGTATAAATACAGTGTCAACATCTCACAGATAGCATCAGAAGCAGGTTTAACAACAAGCAAACCCGACGCTATTTTTAAATTACTATAAGTGTGTTTATTTTACTAGAGCAAATGGCAAATAACATGGGCAAAGTTGGAGAGGAAGCAATTGAACCTCAAGTGCAAAGCAAACACGGGCACATGGACAACACGAGAAACACATCGAGGCATTTAGGATTGACAGAACGAGTTTTATTGGAAAGGCTACGGATCAATGAATGGGGGACCGTAACGTCTGCTCTGTTGGTCGATTCTACGCAAGAACTAAAGCAAGATAACCTCAGAAAAGCTCTTGTTCTTCTGGCCAAGCGGTATCCTTTGCTGCGAATGAGAATAAAAGAAACCACCGATGGAGTGTACTTTGAAGAAATGGAAGACCACCATAAAGTTGATTTTGAACTGTTGAACCAAGTAACAGCCGATAACTGGATACAAGGCTTCGAGGCAGAACTGAACGGTTATCAGTTTGACATCACAAGAGGGCCTTTATGGCGCGCAAGACTACTGAAAGAAACTTGCCGCGAGGGAAAATTCAAAAACGCGGTGGTATTCACATTTCTACACGTCATCTGTGATGCGCTCTCTATTTTTGCGCTTCAAAAACAACTACTGGAATTTATCAATTCCCTCAGCAGCGGCCAAGAAGTTGAAGCCAAAAGCCTTCCTGTCCGGCCTCCATTGGAATCACTGGTCCATGCAGTTCACCCAGACAGAAAAGAGAAGATATTGTTCTCGAGTTTCTTCAAGCTCCAGCGAACCAAAGCGTTTCTTGTCAAGCCTAAGAATTTGTTTCTGTCCATTTATCCCCCAGTGGCAAAAAAGGATCCATGTGCGACCAAGAAAACTTGTCTTTTAGCTCGAAGTCTCTCTGAAGAAGAAACCAAGTTGCTGATCAAGAGTTGTAAGGAAAATAAGTGCACGGTGCACGGCGCAATTACTGCTTCCACGCATCTCGCAATTGCGCGAATTCTACACCGAGGGAAACACGATCTGAAAACTGCAGTGCCACTGGAATCATCTTACACCATCAGTTTACGTAGAGAATGCGAGCCAAAGGTCAGCAGCGAAGAATTTGGTGCCTACGTGACCGCCAGTGGTTTGAAAATTGCCGTGCCTCCGGTTGAGCCAAACGACAAGCAAGGCTTCTGGGAGTTCGCGCGTACCTGTACCCGCGAGGTCCACGCGCAGCTGGATTCTGGAAAGTATCGGAATCTAACGAAGTTATATCACTGTGTAGATGTTCGATCCTACTGCAAAATGTCCAACATTGATTTTAACGAGGGTCGCAGAGTCCAGATCCTTAATATAACCAACTGCGGAGCCTTGCAGACGGAGCAAGCAGATGATCCGCGTTACAAGTTTGCTGGCTCGTATTTTGGCTTGCAAGGCACAAAGACAAGCCACCTGTTTGGAAATAACATCATGACAGTAGATGGGCGACTTTACTGGGCCGTGGAGTATTTCCCACATGTCACTACCAAGACACAAGCTGAAGAAGTATTTGACTCGACTTTGGAAGTCATAAAACAAGCTTGTGTGGGGTGACTTAATTCAATGTCTTTTCACGACATTTGCGGTATTAAAACACTGACTGATAACACATGCTTAGCGTATTATAAAACACATAATTAACTCTGACAATAACATATATCATAGTTTATACTACTACATGAGAAATTTTTGCAATTTGATTGGCTTAGAGGAGTGGTATTTCAGCTTAATTTGAAATACCTACGTGTGAAAATTACAAACCTTTCGTGGGTAGCAGTATAATCAAATAATAGCATGTTTTGTACGTGATATTTGGCATAAATACCACTTGCGATATTTCAAAATTGTCTCAAATTTCACTCGCCTAGCTGCTCGTGAAATTACGTACAACAATTTTGAAATATCACTCGTGGTATATCACTACAAATCATGCTATTACCTATACTCCTACACTAATAATACAATGACGACGATTATTGTGACGGAAGCGATGATGATGCGGAGGAGAACGATGAAAGTAACATAAAAAAGCTTCGTAAAGTAGGAACTGTACCTGCATGTTTGAAGGAAAGGAAAGAATAGCCTTAAGGCTGGAAAATCAAATCTGAAGAGAAGAGGGAGGTTTAACCTTCTTCAATAAAAACAACCGTGTTAACTTTCCGGGTGTAAAAGGTAAAATGAAGCTCTCAGGGGTGTATTTTTTTTTTGAGAATTCGCGGAAAAACTGTAACTGTCAACTCCCCAAGAGAGCTTTCACAAAACATATCAATGACATGTTATTTTCGTTATTAGAGGCCGAGGACGATTACGTTGAATCGCCCATTCTGCTTCCAAAAATACATAACTATCGAGCAAATACAGAGTTTAATTTGTTAAGTATACATATCTTAATTCAGTGTCGCAGTTAATTTTACGAGTTTCAAGTAGTTGATTTTGTAAATGTTATTAATTTATGTTTAAGCTTTATTTCACTTATTTATCTATCTATCTATCTATTTATTTATTTATTTCTGACTGCTGTACCTATTATCTCCGCCCGCCTCGACTAGCACCTGCTATTTGCGGGCGGAAATGGACTCAGTATGCAAATATAGCTTGTTAATAATAATAGTAAAGTGTGCAATAAAGTGTGATACTTCGTGCTCGTAGTCGTCATGGTCCTCGAATCTAGAGGCCTCTACTGACCCGTTTTTCAGAGAAATAAACCAGAAATGATGATTTACTTTTTTATTTATCTGTCGTAATTTTTCTATGACCTGTGCCTTGACAGTCCACAGAGTTCTGGCGCAGTGTTAGTCAAACGATTGAGCGCTTTTCCACTGGTAGTCCTTTAAGGGCAAAACCAAAGTCATCATTGTGTTTCATCAAAGTGAAGTATTCAAGTGACGTATCACTTCAGTGACTGTATCGAGAAGTAGCCTAGCCTGTTCCAGGCATGAACGCTTGGAACAGGCTAGAAGTAGCCTGGCCCAGGAGCGGGAAAGTTTCCATTTTGGTCTTCTTTGATTGGTCGATTAAGTGGCGCCAGATGTTTTCAGTCAACCACAAAGGCAACGAGCTCAGGGTAGTCAACAAAATCACTTACGACAAGCAATTGCCGGGAAACCTTTCTTTTTATTCCCAAAGCTACTCAAATCATCTTTGTATTGGGACTGACTTAAACATGCTACAGCAGAGATACAAAGAGCGATGGTGGTGGTCAAGTTAACGAAAACTAACTTAGACACGAGGTGGCGGACCTCAGATAGGTGAGGTAACATGTGGCGGGTCACCCCACCTATCATGTAAACGTGATCACATTAAAATGAGAGATTATATGGACAGGAGGGTTACCCCACCTAAGCGGGTTACCTCACCTAACTGGGGTCTCCCACGTCCTTGTAAACAGAGGCCAGTTTCTCGAAAGTTCCGGTAACTTTTCGGGCACGAAATCAAATATTCAAATCGAAATGTAAAGAATAAGAGATAAATTGATAGTTTTATCATGTTAGATGCAAAACTATTGAAACCTCGATCTTTAATGTAAACGGCAACAGCTTACCGGGCCCGTTAATTATCAGGACTTTCGAGAAACGGGCCCCAGGCCCTTAGCAGATAAACTGGTGATAACCAAAGGTTAAGGAATGCGGGCGAGTTTCAGCCCTCTGATCGAAAACGCTCTTCCTCCAACGCTGCTACTTTGTGTACGTTTCACGTGATAGAAGGCCAAAAACGCGCGAGATTAGATTGCGTGCTATGCATTCTATTCATTCTTAGTGGAAGTCTAAACGAACGCTGGCTACATACGTGCCAAGCATGCCTAATAGTAACCAGGAGATTGCGGTCTTCCCCTGTCGCCCGCAATAACGCTTTTCAAGTCTGCGCTATAACTTCATGACAACCGCTTATACACAGTAGAAAAAAGGTAAATGATTAGGGCTAGTCTGACTGGCAAACTTCAGAACGGATTAAAACCACTAACTAATTTCTCATCTACTAACCCACCCATAAAAGTTTCTTTCTTTCGAATTCTCATCCAGTTTTTCATATACGCCTTGAAGAACTTTGTCCAAGTTTAATTATGGCCTTTTGTTCAGTATGATTACTGAGTTTTATCACCGTTGATTCCACAAATCGCTCAAGTCATCGTCCTGTGTTTGCCTGAGTTCACTAAGAGCCCATTTTTTGTTGTCAATCTCGGCCATAAGTGTTGTATATTGCTGCACAAGGGAGTCAAAACCCATGCCAACTGACTCGTAAGCCTGAAGCGTTTGAGTGAGACGGTGTAGCTCGGCACTGCTTTCTTCCTCAGCGTCCTTTAAGTAAGCCCTGAAATAACAGAATATCCGCGATGGTTTAGACTCTCAACATAGACCTTAGAGATTTCACTTTGCGTGAAAATATGTAAACAATGTAAAGTGGTAAGAACTGATATTTGGTTTGCTCAACAGAAATTCTCTTAAATAAAGGTCATAAAGGGTGAGTCTTAGTAGGTGGTTCAAACCTTCTCAAGCGAAAAAAAAATCCGTTGCAATTACCAACTACAGTCTCAGACAAAAATAGTTAGGACAATTCCCCGAACGTCGTTTTTTTTTTTCCTTCTAGCCCGTCTCCTCTCCCACCCAATGTTGTTTCAGTATTGCAGTTAACTCACCAAATCTTGCACAACAACATTGGGAGGGTAAGGAGACAGTTAAGTGTCCCCAAAATTTTGACGGAGACTAGCTCCAGACCCTGAGCAGTACGGTAGCTAGTTCCAGCCTATTTCTGTTAATTCGAGTTAACCAGCATTAGCAAACTGGTGCGAGCATTACATTTAAGATTGATCTGTGATTGTTTCAGAAAGTAGCACGAATTTTTGAGGCCCCTTTATGCATGAATCGAGATAATCGTACAATTTTGTGGCGATTTTCTAACGACTTTCTATATTTAAGCACTGACCTGTAACCCGCCATTATCGTAAGCCGCGCATCTAAATTAACGCAGGGTGCAAGTTAAAAAAATAATTTTTACAGCTTGCAATTCAGGCAAGCTGAAGCTAGCATTTACTAACCCAGATGTCATTTCAACTAGCCCCAAAAACTTTTTGACTAGCAGAATTGATTTCACAGTTCTTCCGTTATTCGAATTCCTAAAAAAACATCACTTGCCCGTCCAGCAAGTTGAGAACGGAATTCACTAGCCCGATAGCAAAATCCACTAGCCCCGGGCTATCGGACACTTCTTTGCACGCTGATTAACGGCTCATCCGCCAAGAGAACTAAGAAAGGCTTTCATCGACTCTCGCGCAATAATTCGTCGAAAAATCGGATCAAACTAAAATGAAAGAGGTTCTCAGAAGGTTGACAGCGCGATTCGCAACGACAAACCTCCAAAAATCTATTATTTTCCCTCGTTGGTTGAAACAAAAACCACCTTTGCATATACAGGCCTCAACAAAATTTATTAGGCAGATTTAGCAAAGATAACGAGACAACAGGAAAATCAGTGAGTTCGCCCCTAGTTCGTTTTAGCCTGGTTTTAGCCTAATGGCTGAAATCGAAGCGATCTTTAGTGCAAAGTGAGTCGAAACGGCTGATGGATGGCGTAGTTCATTCTATAGCTATTAAGGGGCTACTACTAAGCGAATTCGATGTCGTAGTGGGCTAACTCACTACGGGGCTAAACCCCTGGCTTCCCGCCACAGTAAATACAGCGCGCGCAGGTCTAAAAACCGAATTGACCATTGGCAGACCGGCAAATTGAAGGCACCAAGAAGTCAGCTCCCGTCCTTTTCGCGCGCTTTTGCGTCCTCATTTGGCATTGCGTTGTCTTTGCTAAATCTGCTTATTAAGAAGCTTAGCAACCAAAGTCATTTGTCATTTATTTCTTTCCACGACAGGTAAAAAGCACTTCAGGTCTTTTTATGTCTTATCTACCACATACTTGATTTTTTTCAGCGCCTCGATAGCTTCTGGGGTGTAGGTATCTCTAATCATCTGATTCTGTAGAACTCTGACTTTAAGACACATAGCGTCACATTTAGCAGTCAGCCACTCAGCTGTAACACGATCGTACTTGGCTTGAGACTGTAATCTGTGATCTGCTATGAGTTTCTCAAGAGTTTGAAGAGACTGCATCAGAACCTGAATTTAAGGTATAAATAAAAAATGAACTGCAATGCCGTAGAACTTGGCAGTACTGTAAAAGGGAAAAACTGCCTTGTACGCGTCATTTTGAAATTGAAATAGGCTTTCCCCAAGAGTTTTTGCTGAAAAACCATCTGCTTCGTGCATGCGTTTTAGGATTTGACTGATCTTGCAGGATATTTTTTTTATTGAAAGTGAAATTCTCATTACGATGGGAATGGTCTGACCGGTTAGTCTATGTTTAATATCAGCTCCAACAAAGTCAGTCACTTTTAAATTGAATAACAAACACAGTGTCTGAAACTAACCTCATGCAACTGTCTAAATTGTTTATCTCTCAGCATTCGGTTGTACTGAAGCTGCTTTGTCTCTTCCTCCAAAAGTTGCTTTTCATTTTCAAGGAATGCTGGCAGTTGTGTGGCTTTTGCAAATGAGAGCTGTTCGTTTTCTGTGATAAAAACCAAAATAATAATTTTGAACGTATTCCTTCCATAAAAATAAGAGTTGGTAGAGTTCAGTTCGGTCATCCTTTTTTCGTGACATTTGATCACGCAGACATCATTTTGGATAAGGATTTAGTTAGGATGTAGTTAGATAATTATTTACTTGCAAAAATATACGATATGTTCTGTTGCCTGACAGACCATTTCTTGCCAAAGGGTGGTTACATGCGCACGTCACAACATTTTCTGTTTACACTCCCCCAGGCTTTTTTTACTTGAAGAGCCCAAAATATAAGAAATGCTGTTAGATTTGTCAAAAACTGAGCATTATCAGTAGTATTATGCTGTCTATAAAGGCATACCAATTTGACAGGTCTGTTACATCACATACATGTTTATGGCCCATAGCCAATGGCCCAACGATAAAATAGATATTATAATATTAGAAAATATAAAGCCACTGGCAAGCTATAAGCACCAAATCTTACCAACTTGTTTTGCTGGTTTGTGAAAACTTGCCACTGTTTCACACTTGCTCATCAATCTTGACTCCAGTTCAGGTATGATGTTCTGCTGAAATGACTTGATGCACAGAGACAGAGACAATTGATTAAAATCTCAGTAGCTTTACTGTCAAACTAAGAAAACCATGAACACCTGAAAAATTTCAGGAATGTTGATTGTGCACTGGCCGATCACAATAAAGATCAGGATACCCAGGCAAACCTCAAAACCACAAACTAACAGGCCCTTTGCAGCTAAGCCATCGTGTGACCTACTTTTCATAAAATTATGGGCCATAACTTAGCAAATTTCAGAAATGGAAAAAGCATGTCGAAAATATCAAAATGGCCAAGTTTGAGGCCCCCATCATTCAAGAATGAGATTTTATGACAGTCTGAAGTTTTTAACAAATAAGAAGATTTGTATGGAAAAAGTTGTTGGAGAGCAAGGCCTTGCTCTCCAGCAACATTTTCCATACAAATCCTTTTAATTTTCCGAAAATTCAAACTGCTGTATAAACAGTACTCTGTAATCCCAGGGGGCCCAAACTTTGCCATTTTGGTATTTTTGATATGCTTTTTCCATCTCTGGCATTCTTTAAGTTATAGCCCATAATATAGATTTTTTAAGGAAAGATTTGATCACCTGACCCCAGCTGCAAAGGGCTTATTATCGTTGCTGTTTGCGGCTTAGTTATCTCATGTCTTATTGGCTTATTTCTCGCACCACAATAACATGCCATAAATATTTTTGGTGTTCACGGTCTTGTGAGTTTCACAGTAAAAACATAAAGTAAAGTGGTAAAAGACAAACAAACAATGAAGGAGGTAGTACATTGTACCAGCCACATTAGCATTAAGGCATACAGAGGGTCTGTTTACATGAGCCAGGTTTGCCTGATTTACAGAGCTAGATTGGTTAACCAAGATTGTCTTTTAGCCCAGTATTTACAAGACTAGCCAACGCTTAGGGCCAGATCCAATTTCTGAAGCAATGGTCTCAGCTGTTTATATGACGCCCCTGCAAAAGGCCTTGAAGTGCACTGAACAAACTTCCAGTCACCTTTCTCCAGCATTTCAATTTTGGCTGCTTTATTTTCTCTAAACTTATGTAGTTCCATGGTTTGGTATTACTCAACACTTTATAGAAAGAGGAATATGAACTTATTAGTGACCCAGCACACTCAAAAAGAAACAAAATCCACTGCTTTCTTCTTGGCATCGTACATATGATTAAAAAAAATTCTCAGCTCTGTTAGCAACAATCCTGGCAATAAGAAACCATGATCTTACTTAGTTGTCAGGTTTATTAAAGGACTTAACCCTTTAAGCGCCAATCACATCCACATACAAATTCACCAGACTGATCTCCATGCATTTCCTTAAAGAATTGGTTGAGAGAATTTGATTAAAGATCAAAGCATTTTCTCTTTTGCATTCATATTTTCATTAATTCTCATAACTTTTTCTCTTGTTTTTGTCGAGTTAACTCCCTCTTAACGGACACCTCTATTACTATAAGACGGACACCTTGCTAAAATGGACAGCTAGAGTTGGTCCCTGCCTTTCTTTACTCCTTTTAGTTGGCTCTTAGACTGCGTAGCCAGCGTAACTTCTGTTTGGTTTTGGAGCAAAGAAAGACCATGGAACGGGATTTCCGGTTTTGGCCGCATGAAAAATGGAATGAGAGCCAAAAAATGAAATAGGGGGGAGGGGAAGGGGAAAGAAGGAAATGCTTGTCTAATTCCTTCCTTTCTTCCCCACCCCCCTCCCTGCTCTTTTACTTACACCATTTTTTGCGCAGTCTTTGACTCTCGTTGGTTGTTCTTTGCTCCAAAACCGCAAGGAAACATTTGCTACACAGGCTAGTTGACTCTCCTTAAGACAGACATCTCTCTAAGACCGACACTGTGGCCTGTCCCAAAGGAGTCTGTCTTAGAGAGAGCTGATTGTATTGATGCTTGGAGAAAACTGATGTTGATCACTCTTGGGTTTAATCCAACATACCCAGTGTTCTCCTTATCAGGTGGTAACCGGTAAAATTTACCTCCTGAAGCAACACTTCTTACCACTTGCAACTGCTTGAAGGTTTACTAAAATTAATCATTATGTAGTTTTAACAAAATATAATACACACTTGAGTTGTGATTCGATCCAATCAAGGAAATGAATGAATAAATTATATGGAAAAGTACTTAAAGATACACAGCTTTTCTTTTTTATGAGCCATGCAGTTTGGAAAGAGAACACTGAAGACAGAGTAAGATTATTGGGATCAAACATTTTAAATTGTTGTCTACAGATGACAATGGCCGATTTACGTAAAATAGGTCTTAAAATGAGGGAATGATGTTTCAAAGAACTTAGCCCCTCCTAGGGTGGGGCCATGTCCCTCACTCCACTACTCCCTCCCCTCCCCACAGGAAAGTGCTTCTCTGGGGCATATTTTTTGCCTTACCGGCCATGAATAGTCCCTTACCTGCTGAGCTAAAATTTAGGGAGAACCCTGTATACCTGATGTAAAGACTTCCTTTGACATTCACCAGTGAGGTGTTCAGCTTTAAGCCCAAGCAACGTGGCAGCCTGTTCTCCTCCTTCAGGATGGAAATCAAGGTAGTTAACTGCTTCAGCCTGGGCCAGCGACTCCTTCAAAGCTTCATACAACTAAGTGAGAAATGAACATGCTCTTGTAACAGAGCCACTGATACTGGTGAACAAGAACCTAGTTACTGCACAAAAGCCCTTCACTATACCAGTGACCAGGCTGCAGTTGTTCAAAAGGTCAGCATCTTAGCGATATCTATGGGATAATCACTATCCAGTGGATAATTATTTTTTGGGGAAACCATTATTTTTTTACAATAACCAAGCAATTTCTCAGTTTGATGGGATGAGAGCTATAATCAATGAGAGCACAGACCATGGAAATGATGTACTGGTGGTGCAATTTGTTCTTCTCAGATTTCTCATGCATATTATTCAATGAAAAAATTCAGCAAAAATGGAAATCAAAAACTGTCAATTGTTGTTCTTGCAAAAACGAAATCAAAAACTGGGCCGGGTTGTTCAAAACCAGGTTAACATAACCCAGGATTAGTACAAAATTTGAATTCAGATATGAAAGCCTAAAAAGCAAATTCAGTTTAATTCTTTTTGTCTAGTGAAATAATTTGATGATTAGTTACTCTAAGTAGAATAGAGAAAATTTTCTGCGAAAATGCTTTTGATAAAAAGAAAAAGAGATCTGGGTTAGCACTAACCGGCCTTTGAACAACTTGGCCCTGTACGATAATTTTTACATGGTCTATCTTCTTATTGACCATAGAAATGATGTCAAAATGTTCAAAACTTTGAACATGAGTTTGATCAATGAGAGTTCAAACCATGGAAAACTACTGTGAAATTGTTAAATCCACTGGATAGAGATTTATCTGACGGATGGTGTTATCCACCTTTTGAACATCTAAGGCCACAGCATCTTATTTTGCTTCATAAAATTCACTGTAATCAGTGCACAGTCAAACAGAATGTCTAACAATCTTTTGTTAGGAAATGTCAAAAGAGCACTGTCAAACTTTCCCAAACTTACACTACTCCTGGTCAGTCTATCAAACAGTTTATGATAAGTACTAAAAAAAAGTTGAAAGGTTTACAGTACTTGTGGACCAGATGTGTGTGGGTGCAATAAAATAAGTCACTCAATGCAAGGTAATCCAAGACAGTCTTAGATTTTGGATTCCATACCGTAGATTCCGGATTCCAGGCACTGGATTCCAGATTCTTTTTCAGCGGAACTTGGATTCTGGATTTCATTTGGGGGATTCCGGATTCCTTGAGCATGATTCTGGATTCCAAAGCCCAGGATTCTAAAATTATTCCACAATCAAAACTTTCCTAGATTCTGGATTCCACAAGCGAAAATCTCAAGGATCCAGAATCTGGATTCCGTTCCATGCGGTGAAACAAGACTGACCTGTGAAGTGGTTGAACCAGGATGAATGTCCTGCTTCTTCATGTCATACTCCATGAGCAGTTCCTTCAGTTCTGAGTAAAGTGCTAAGAGCTGTAAGTACTTAAGCTTTTGCTGTTTCAGTGCATCTTCAGCCTAGAAATGGCATTTAAATAGTCAGCGCATACACAGATGTAAAAGAAATCAATGCTGCATGTTTGGCAGCAACTGACCCCAAAAACCACGGGGGCATCACCTCCTATTTTGGACTATACTTAGGGAATTACTGATTACAGAACAGAGCAAGTGTAGCAGCACCCGTGTTTTGCTTTATCACCATTTTTATGCAAGGCAAGCGTCATAAATATTGGTACTTGCATGTTAGGTTTTGTTAGTTATCAACTACACTGTCTGATTGTAGAGCCCAGGAAGGGGTAAGTTTGTACTTTTCTTCACACTTTTTTTCCAGCTTTTCTGTATTCTAACTTTTTTACTAAATTTGTTATCCTTCAGAGATTTAGAGATCAGTTAAGCATGTGGGGAAATGTAATTAAAACTGTCCAATCTGTTAAAGCCAAATGGGTTTTCTTGTGGTGTATTTTGGACTTTGGACCAGTACCGGCTTCTCCCTTCTATAAAACAGAGTTATTTCTTGTATAATTATTTATTTATTTATTTATTTTTATAAGTTATCATCATTATTTTTTTTTTTTTTTTTTTTTTTTTTTTTGGGGGGGGGAGCTTTAATACATGTATTCTCATAGCCTCCTTTATATCAGCACATATATAGGGATATAACTTACTACAGTCAACTCTCTCTTAACGGACACCTCTATAAGACAGACACCTCTGTGAAATGGACACTTAGAGTTGGTCCCTGCCTTTCTGTACTCCCTTTATTTGACTCTCTATAAGACAGACACCTCTCTTAGACAGACACTTACTGCCGGTCCCAAAGGTGTCCGTCTTAGAGAGAGTTGACTGTAGTAGGTTTGAGTATTATAAATCCCCTCCCCATAAATAGAGAAAGACAGAAAAATGATTGATAGTATCTAGCATCCAAGAATAAGGAAAAGAAATGTCCAAAACACAAGCCTGCTTCAAAGCAATGATATCACCAACCTGCATCAAGTCCTTGTGAACAGTAAGTGACATGCCTGTGTTTGTAAGGTGTCTTGTCAAGGATGTCAACAGTTTAGCAAATTCTGGGTTTTGCTTTACATTTGAAGAAGTCAGATGAACAGGCAAACTGGAGTTCACTGAATATCAGCAAAGCAAAGAAAACAGATGGTCTAGTTATAATAGATTTAGAACTATTGCACCTATCATTGGCCATCCCCTGTGGGGGGGGGACCCCGGGCAAATACAACTTTGTATGGCGACTTACAGGTATAGCGGGATTTGAAATATTAATTTTACCCTGGAGGTAAGAGAAATTAGGTAGGGTTGGTTTACGACACCACGGGTAAAACCAGGAACTTTGTATAAAGAAATTATTAGGTCGATTTCAAGTTGTCCTAAATGAAGGGCATATATAGACCACTTGTCTAGAAGATTGAAGGTTTACCTCTCCTCATGGTGAATATAATGGTGGGCTCGGCAGACTGTGTAATCAAAGGACAAGGTATTGTCATGCAAATCCATTTCTGTCATGTTATTTCTTGTATATGCTTCTTCTACTATTATCAGGTGAGTTGGGTCATCTCAAATTTACTGTGGTTTCATGTTCTACAGTATGATACCCCTCCATAAGGGGAAGTTCTTAACAAAGATTGCTCTCTGCCGCCATCAAGGAAGGGAAAATTAAGCACTTTTACGGGTTCCTTTACAAAGTTCCCTCCCTTGCCCAGGGTCCCTTCCAGGGAATGGCTGATGATAGGTGCATAACTATCCATCAAGCAAAATATCTTCAACGAAATGTTGAACCTTATAACCAAAAAAGGTATTGTAGTATCATTCCTATAAATGTATACGTTACAGTTCAAATTGATTTCTGGTTAATTTTGATTTAACCTAGGTTGATTCTCAATTCCAGTGTCTCCTAGCCCTAGAAGACAAAGCAAATTGAGAGTCAACCTAGGTGAAATTTTTTTTGTAAACCTGAAATCAAATTTGATCAGTAACATATACAAGAAACCCAAACAGTTTTTGAGGAGGTCAAGGATTTGGGCAGACAGTTGTAGAAGGCGAAATGCACAAGTGATCCAGGGAAAGTCCCACTCTTTCGGTAGGTCTCCTGCAGCCCTTGCCGGGGGTAAAGGATATACTTGCTTATGCACCTATCAATGGTTTGCCCCAGGATGGGTGGGCCGGGCAATCCACGGGAATTAGACTTTGTAAAGCCCGCGTGGGTGGGGATTTTGACATCCACAACGGTCCCCAGGGTGGGAAATTCGACTCGAACTTTATTTTATTTTTATTTAAACACGGTAAATCTATCGATAAAATAATAACAATAAAAAATTACGATCTACTTTAATCTATATAAACATGATCTAAAAATTTAAATAGTAAAAATAGAGAAAATAAAGAAATTCTGCTTTACATAGATGCCGTGTGCGTTTTATCGATTCAGTCAAAGAAATCGCGACAACCATTTTGAAAAGATTTAAGTGATTTTGCTTGCCGCAATTCAGGGGACAAGCTGTTCCAGATTACCGCACCATTATAGCTAAAGCTATTTTTCAAGAAATTGGTGCGGGGCAATGGAACAGCTAGTTTGTTTTCAGAGTTCCTTAAATTATAAGGTGGATTATATTTAGTGAAAAGAGAACCAAGATAGTCGGGCGCAAGACCATGTATAGATTTGTAGACCATAGTGGCCACTTGTATTTGTCGCTGAGTATCCAACCGTTTCCAGTTGAGTTGCTCAAGAAGAGGATCAGCGCTTGTGTCATAACTGGAGAAGGTTAGAATACGGGCAGCCCGGTTTTGCAACTTTTGGAGCTTATTCGCCCGCCATCTTGAAAAGTGGAGAGGACCTGGGAATAAGTGAATGGTCCGCCATCTTAAAAAATACCCAGAAATCATTTGAGCGAGTTTCCCGCGTCCAAGGATGGCTGAACGAAAGGTAAGGAGTATCGTGTTGCTTTTCTTTTAAGCAAAAATGTTGTCTTTTATGCCCATCAGTGCTCTGTCTTTAAAGTTTTAATAACATAAGGTATTTTTCCTTCAGCTTTGAGAAGAAATATTTGCACAAGAGCTCATTTAGATCAAAATTTACTTCCTACTTACCTGTCTTCAGAGGATGCCGCCCTGCTACTCTCTGTGTTTATAGATTTTCTAGTATACTCCAAATGTTAAATTAATTGAAATTCTGGTCAATTGTGGACCTCAGTTGGATGAAAGCGGAATACGACCTATTCCAGGCGTGACATAGAAGATGAATCCAGAAACCTGTGCCAAATCTCACCAAACAATGACAAGTAGTGCTTTATTAAATAATCTTACTTTTTGATACTTTCTATGTCAATTTTTTAATAATTCTACCCTAAAAAATTTTTGTCTACAAGAAATACAATTTGGATTGTTTTGAGAGGATCTTGTTTAATCGTTGTTTGTTCAAATCAGTGTTGTGTCTGGAGGAGTGCTGCAATAAACTTGTGAGTGCCTATCATTTCGCTTAACTTACTATGAAGGTCTGTGGTCCCCAGGGGTGGGAATTTGACTTACAATGGAGACCCAAGGGTGGGGAAATTGACATTTGAAAACCTGAAAATGTCAAATTTCCCGTGGGTTGCCCGGCCCCCCCATCCTGGGGCAAACCATTGATAGGTGCTTTGCATCTGTACGTACGGTGTGTAAAGTAACAATTTTTACTCTCAGTCTCGTAATCAAGAATGGATCACCAAGACCGGTATCCTGATCATATGCAAATGAATACAAATCTATCATTCTACTGTTTAGCATAGTCCTACTAGTTAAATCACCTTAAAATGAGTGTTTTAATAAAGTATTAAAATAGAAGAGATCACTCACGTTTATCTGCTTTTTCCTCCACTGATATCATCCTGATCTTTGAGAGTCTTGCATATAATGCGTAATATTTACTTTTAAGTTGTCTTTACTAGCTGTATGCAAGTGGCTAGAGGACAAGGAAATCAACCAAATACCAACGTGCTGACGTCTCCACTCTTCCAATCTGCCGCCATTTTTTGTTGTATACCCACCAAAGTGAGGCGAGCGGTAATAGTTTATTTTTGAAAGAACCATATCTTACAAGCACGTTGATTGGTTAATTTTTTTTGCTAGCCAATGAGAGTTCAGTTTGTATTGCTCCAAATACGTATGTTTCCTCGTTTACGCTCGATGAAAGTTGGTACATGTAGTATGCTACAGCTTTATTGAAATAGATCAGAGTTGTGTTGGAACTTCCTTTTCATATAAGGTAAGATTCTTGCTGGTTTGAAATCTGTTCCAAAGAAATGCTACTTATATAATCGTGAAATATCGGCTCGCTCCTTTATAGCTACAAGCCCAACCAATTTTTCTGCCATACCATCCGGCTGCCAGCTGCATGAAAAAAATAATAATAACAATTCAGCTGGTTTTAGAACGCTTGAAAGTGCTCTGAAGACTCTTGAATTTCCGTTGTCAGTTTTGTTGACGTAAGGTTGCTGAATATTCTTTAAGCTTATGTTGAACCTGACATTTGAACTAAATTCACACCCAAAAACTACCCAAATTTTACTCTTGATCAATACTTATACGTGCATGTAAGCTTGTAGATTTTGATTTTAAAACGTTGCGCGTTCAGCGATTTGTTTCCGGTTGTGATCAGAAAAGCGTTTCTCGCTTGTATGTTTATAGATGTTGACAAATTTTGTGTCTGTTCTCAAGAAGGTGGCAGTATATTTTTCCATAAAAGGATTAATCTCTGAACGCTGCCGCAGATAATCTTATGGCAACGGTAACCTACCCTGTATTATTCGGTTAAAATAATCGTCTAAATTTAGGAAGGCACGATTTGATGGGAATTATTGACTTCAGAATCTGCACGCTCCATCAAACGTGCAGTTTTTAAAAATGATTTATTTAACCCTGGTTATGATGTCATCAAGTAAACATTAGCCGGAGTATATCTAACCGCTTTATTTAGATACAGTATATGAGATCATGGTACTTTGCTGGATAATATAATGCTGAAATACATTGTAAAATGAACAAGTTCAGGTAAAAGTTGACTCCTAGGACCTTTCGTGGGATCATCATTCAGAGTGATCAGAATCTGTTGTAACTTATTATAGTATATAAACATAAACGTGAGTTGCTGTTACTACATATTATCATTGGCTCAGCTGTATCAATTTTAAATCTAAATTCTGCTGTATAAAATGTGACCAAACCTAAGGGGTATAGAATGGTTCCTCGAAAAACGTGGGTCTTGGAAAACTTTGGCCCAATCTCGAAAGCAATTAAGTCGCTTTGTTGGGTGATTTTGCGTCTCGATCAGAGTCTCAAATTTGCTCAGTCTCAGTCTTGAATTTGAAACTTGGGTCTCGCAATATCTCAAATTTACCATTCTACAGCAATGTTCAGGTGGGTGTATACCCCTAAACCTAGCAAAGTGTCTTCAAATGTCATGGTAACATAAATAGTTTCTAGTGCAACAACTTCAGCTGGTGACACTATATGATAAAAACAGCAATGAAAGCTATAAGCATGGTTTGACATCTTACAAGTGTTTTTGTTGTGTTCATGGTAGGTAAACTGTTTACCACATTTACTAAACTGCAGAGAAGCAATTGGTCATGGCTGACAATTTGAGGTTGAATTCAGGAACACTGGATGTAGAGTATATTAAAAGCTTACCAGGTTTATTGAAAGTTGCTGAAATTGTAAGTATCAAAACTTATGTCTTAAAAAACACAATAATACTGTTTACATCACTGATGTTACAGTTTTTAAAAAACTGCTATAATAATAATGCCATTTTACAGCAGATCATAGGGTCAAAGAAGAAGCAAGACAAGACACATGCATTCATCTAGATTTTTATGATTATGTATACAGCTATTTCGAGAAAGGTTGTCGGGAAAAGTGTACGCGACAATTCCGAAAGGTGTTGTGGATGGTTTTGAGCTCACTGTTGTTCAAAGAAATTTGAAAGAAGGGCAGGAGAGGCCATGGACATATGTTTGTGAGTGCTAAAGGAAAGCAACAAAAGTAGGTTCGACGGCTACTGTGTCAGGAACAGTGTATTGATCATATCCCATGTTACCTTTCGGGATTGTCGTGTGCACATTGTTTCTGACAACCTTTCTTGAAATTGCTGTAGTTGGCAGAAGCTATACACTTGAGTGCTATGCTTCTTGGGAGACTGAAAAACTATGCTGAAAATATAGTCGAACCTTTGTTTAGCAGCCACCCTTAGGGATACAGGGAATTGGCTGCTTAATGGAGGTTGGCCACTCAGTAGATGTTCATCATAATAAAGGCATAATCTTAAGTAAAAACATCACTTTATTTTGGATCAAACACACGATGGGTTCAGCATTACTAGTCCACAATCAGATGTCACCTTCTATATATCTTGGTCTGTATTTTCCTTCATTATATTTTCAAAATAAAGCCATTTGAACTAAGTGTATCAAGTGCTTAATGGCCACTTCAATAATAAAGTTGACAACAATAGTAGAATTTTCTTTAGGATGGCCAATGGGTGGCTAGCTGCGACCACCTTAATGGGGATGCTTGCTTAAAAGAGAGGGCTAATTACGTTACAATATTATTCCTTTCTACAAAGTTTTCAGGACTTTGATTACTGGTCGTCTATCCTAGGACCTCTTATGTTCAGTCTCTACATGAACGACCTACCGTCCGTTGTTAAGTTTTCAAGTGTAGAGTCATATGTTGACGACACAAAAGTTTATCTTTCGTGTTCATCCGAAAACATTGACTCCTGCATTGCAAACGTCTCGGAAGATCTCCGACTTATTGCCTCTTGGTGCTGTACGAATAAGTTGCTTATTAATCCAGACAAAACTAAACTTATTCTCTTTGGAACGAAATAGCTTTTAAGTAAGGTACCTGACATTAGAGTCCCTTTTCTTGGGCAACATTTAATTCCTGTGTCCTCAGTCAAAGACCTGGGTATAATTTTGGACTCGAACCTTACTTTTAATGAACATGTTAACACTCTGACCTCGTCTCTTATTTCTATCTTATGCCAGATAAACAGAGTTAGGCACCTGTTTTCTAAATCAGTACTCACTACCATTCTGAACTGTCTTGTTTTTTGTAAACTTTTTTATTGCTCGACAGTCTGGTCTGGAACGTTTGTGCACAACATAAACAAACTGCAACTCGTACAAAACTTACGCCGCCCGTGTGTTGACTAACACCAAGAAGTTTGATCACATCTCACCAGTGCTGCGTGCATTGTGTTGGCCTTCTGTTAAGAATCAGTTACTAGTGCGTGATGTTACGATGCTATACAAAATAGTTAATGGCCTTGCACCACCATATTTAGAGTTTTATGTCAACAAAAGATCAGCTATCCACAGCTACAATACTAGATCTAGGGACAATTTAGTCGCACCGCTTTGTAGGACAGCCACAGCACAGAGGTCCTTTAGTTACAGAGCAATCACTGCTTGGAATTCTCTTATAAGTGAAGAAACAAAAAATAGTGCAACACTCTCAGTTTTTTTAAAGCGGCAGCAGTAAAGCGAAATATATAATAGTTCGTAGTAAATTTTTTAGGTTTAGCATTTTTAGAATAGGTTAATTTATTTATTTGAATTAGTTTTTTTTTTTTTTTTTTTTTTTTCTCATGATATTATTGTAATTTTTATAAGTCGTTTTTATTCGATTTCCAATTATTGTAAATTAAATCGGAAGAGCCACTGGCTGGAGATTTAATAAATTTACTACTACTACTACTAGAGGGTGGCTGCTAAATGGATCAGGTTCAACAGTAACTGTCATGTATAACCAGCAGTGATTCTGTTATCTTTCAGCTTTGTCTCCTTATTGCTTTTGCATCACTTTCTGGATTTACTTTACACTTCAAAGATGACTTGTATGGTGGCAGATTTGATTTCTTTTACTTCGCGACTATTACACCATGGTTACTGGTCATCATAATTTATGTACTTTTTGCTTTGAGGCTGCATGAGAGACTTGCCAATATCAACTGGGACTTTGTTGTAAGTACAAGTGAGATTAAAAGTTTTTTTTTGGTCATGTCTTTATTATTTGTTTAAGGAAAAATTACATGCTAAACTAGTAACTCAAATTACTTTTGAACAAGGCAAAAAACAATAAAAATTAAAAAGCTTAATGAGTGAACACCTTAAAATTCTGTGTACAATATACCAGTAAACATCATGTTCAAAACTTACATTAAATTACCATGTTATATTTAAAATAGAGCCCAACGATAAAGCTTGAAAACTGGCTATTGCCACCAGGCAGCTACCTGCACAGAACTCAGGCAAGTATGTGAATGTTCTTTCTCATTAGTTGCCTGAGGTGAAGAGAAAGATACAGCGGTCAGCGTAGGAGATCTTGTAGCCTGTGCCAGCCTCAGATAGTATAAAGGCAAAATACATGAGTGGAAAACTGATAAAAGCAGACTGACTACTTGGGAAAGGGCACAAGTGAAAGTCTGGAGAGAGCCTGTTAGTACTTTTGGACCACCCTTCCACTTATTATTGTGCGTTTCAGTTTACGTATTGCGCCGTCTGGATTAAACTTATCCAAACTGTTAACACGCCTGATTGCTTCTACAGTCATTCATCAAGATTTCTTGCGCCTTGAAGCATTGCACGCGGCCGCGAAACTCCTTGTCGCATTAACCAAAATTTATAATCTTGATTGGGTATCCTGAGAACATCCGTTTTGGCTCTAGTTTATCCGCTTAATAGTTTAAAGGTACAAATGCCTCTGTTGGGTAGGTTATGCCTGAAGGTTTTACATTGTCACTGAGCAATGTGACTTAACCGAGGCTGCATGGCATACTATCATGTATGCTTTCTTTGTTTTGGTCGGCAGGATTTGCCTTCTTTACAGGGCGGCTTTTACCCCAAATTGAAAGGCATACTTTTTATTGCGGGTTTGTTGCGCTTCAATTTTCTCCAGTGCTCGGTCTAATTAACTAACTGATTTTCTCAGTCCAGGAATTAATGTAACATTTTCTACACGTTGTATCACGCCAATTCAGCTCACAAGCTTTGCACGCAGTTAAATTATCACGGGATGCGCCAGCGGGGATTTACAGATCCAGAATTATAAGAAGAATGAAGTAGCTTGAACTGTTACATCAACTAAGGAGAATTGCATTGTGACTTAGTAAACCCAGCTTTAACAGTGTTTCTCCTAAAATAGTGTGAGTCTTGACCAGAGCGCCGTAGTTTCTCCCTTTTGTAATTGCGGAATGCTTTCAATGTCTTTGGACTGTTTTTGTTGGTCAAGCACTTCCGTGATCGTCCAGGACCACCATCGAAAACACCTCAAGACTCCTCTTCTCTCTCGCCGCAGTTCGCCCCTCCCTCTCCACTGATGCCAAATAGTCATGTCGGAGATCTTATTGACTAGCATGCAATCATCATATTTTTTAGTTTGAAAAGATATATATCTGTATTTGCACTTATAGTAGCATGGTAGAAATTAAGTAGTTATTTGTGTATCCTTTAATACAAGCACCTCTTTGCCAATTTTCCATGGTGTATGAACAAATAAGGTTAGTTTGTATTTGCATACTTTTTGCGACTAAAATACATGACATTTGTACATTAATTTTAAAACGTAATGAATGTTCATATGTTTCCAACAGATGACCATTTTCTCCCCTGTTGTGGCATTTTTGTTACTTGTTTCCTCTGCACTTGTCCTGGATGTCGCCATTTATTTTAGACGAAATGAAAAGGAGTTCAACGATAAAGTTTTCCTGATTTGTGAAAAAGAACCCTGTGGCAATGTCGAAGCAGCTGGAGTAAGTATCACTTTTATAGCCCTGCTGTCACCAAGATTTCAGTTGCTGGCCAAAATACCACAAGTCCTGGTGTAGGTGGGGAATAAAAAAGCCAAGGATTTCTTTTGGTTCTATAGTCCTTCTCTCAGTTCTTATGAAAGGAGCCGGGCCTCACCTTCATAGTAACTGGGGGTGATCCCCAGTGCCACTCCCCCCCCCTTTAACGACAGCCCTGGATATTACAACATGTACAGCTGTAGGTGACTCTATCTTAATGTACACCTTCTTAAACCTTTCACTGCCAAATTTTGACCAAATTTCGAAATTTCATTTTGTGAAATTTTGAAAAACAAATAGCACCATGTGTAAGTACAGGCAGAGAGCTTTCATTTGAATGGTCACATCGTAGGATTTGGTCTGCAGACTCAAAAGTTAGACTCACCTCACAAAACTCCATCAGGCACTCTGGCAGTGAAAGGGTTAAATCAGACACCTCTGTTGCTTCCTGCTATTACTCCCTCCCTGTTATTCTTCAGTCATTTTCTTTGACTTCTTTGACTCTTTGTAAGATGGGCATTGCCCTGAAACGGGCACCTAGAGACCATGAGTTGCTGCCTCCTGCTCTTTAGCCATTGTCTTTTACTCTCTGTAAGATGTTATAAACGAAATATATAACAGAAAAATGTTAAGGAAGCCCTAAGAAACAAGGACACTTAAACAGCACAGGCTGCCTTTGAAGTAATGTTAAATTGCTAGAGAAATGGAGTGGTAGTAGTGTCGAGATAGGTGAAAATAACAAAATAGTGATAATAAGCAAGAGAGAGAAAAAAAATGAAAAAGGGAGAGAAAAAGTAAAACAAAAAAGGGAAACAGAGAAGGGTAGAAATATTATGTATGTAAGAGGGGTTTTCTCTGCATTTAACAGTTGTTCTTCGGAGTAAAATTTATAAAAAAAAGTTACAAAGAAATATTCAACTCCAACAAATTTCTTGAAAGTTACACAGAGCAGTCAGAACCCATCTGAATTCCTTTGTCAGTGACGTTTGCTGTTATTTGCCGCCTCCTTTGTAAGCATCACTGATAAAGGTATCCAGACAGGCTCTGAAAGATCTGCATAACTTTTAAGAAATTTGTTGCTGTTGATTTTGAGTTTGTATGAAATATGCCCGAAGGACATTTGTTTGATTTTGAATAGTCCAATAGCTGAATCTTCATTCTTTCTTTAACCCTTTAAGGCCCAAGATCAACATACACATTCTCCAGACTGGCCTGCACACATTTCTTCAAAATTGGTGGAGAGAATTTGTTAAACGATCAAAGCATATTCCCTTTTAATTAGCAATCATTTTATTAATTCTCACAACCGTAACTCTTGTTGATCTGCTGATGTTGTTGGGAGAAAATCGGTGTTGGTCACTCTTGTGACTTCAGTGGTTAACAAAAAATAATGATTTTCTTTCTCTAGTCCTTTGGTATCCTTTCCATGGTACTGTTTGCTGTCGATACTTTCCTGTATTTCATGAAGAACAGGAACACGGGCTCAGCAAAGCCTCCGCCAGGATATGATGGAGAAAACATCGACGAAGTGTCAGAGACTACGGAAAAACCAGCGTATTAATATTAAGATGGTTATACAAGTCTGTTTCCCTTGATAATTTATATAAAACTAGTAGTTTTACTTTTTGAAAATTGTGGGTTCATGTCACCTGAATACAGAATCCACAATGAAACGTGATCGTCCTTTTATTTACAAATGTAGAAAGTTGTTATTCTTGTGACACCAGTAAAGTAATCCAGAATACAGGAAAGTTTTTCTTGTGGAATCTGGAACCCGTACTAATGATTAGAATCCAGAATCCAGAATCCAGGTACTGAATTCTGGAATCCATGGTGCAAAATCAAAAATCCACTGCATGGAATCCAGCATCTAAAAATTAATGTCTTAGATTACCTTACTTAAGACGATTTGTGAAGCTTATTGTTCCTCTTTTGTTAATATTTGAACCTTGTTTGGGGTCATCCTCAGTGTAAAACCTGTGAAGTTTTTCTTTATTTTTTAGCTCTTATTATCCTTGGCTCTAGTGTGTTGACTTCTTACTGGCTTCTTTTTATTAATTATCTTATGTCATTCATGAGGTTCTCACAGGTTTTTACACCGAGTATGAGCCCTGTTGGCCTACAAAGTTGTGTTTAGTCTCAATTTCAGGGTCATCACCTAGCAAGGAGCAATGCGGAGTCGATTGAGGAAAAAGCTTCAAGGCTTTTTAGGAATTTTATTTAATAAGACGTAAAGCGCATCGTTAAAATTCTCGTAAAATGAATCTGCTCTCGAAATTTTTAAGTTGATGTGAGAATAGTAAAAAGAACATTACTTAATCCGTTCATCACTATTTCCGGTAACCCCAAGCCTGAAATAAATATTTAATTAGCTTTCTCATGTCACGGCCAGAGAGCCAGAGAGGTACCTAAGTCTTTTTTGACAGCTCTTGTTCCTTAATCCTTGCTTGAATGTAAGACGGACGGGCTTTTACTATAACCAAGCAAATTTTTGGTCAGCCTCAAACGCTCTAAAATGGTGAACTGCGCCGATTTGGGTCGTGAGTACTTCCGTAATGAGTTTTGAAGTAAAAAAAAAGTCTTTAATAGGTCTCGTTAAGTAAATAGGATTTCTTTAATGAGGAGGCAGTTCCAATTTTAGGAAATGGGTGCCAGTGGTAGCTTAAATAATATGAATATCGAGGTTTGTGTCTTGAGTGAAAGATGAATGGATCATACGTGATCAGACACTCAGCAATTCCATCAAAATGTCCAAGTTCTTCTAACATTACTGGATTATGCTGGCGGGTCATTTGGTTTCCGCGAACGAGTTGATGAAGTCTTTACTTCCTGTTCAAAACGGCGAGTCTGTCTGACCACGTGAACTCTTGGTACCAGGCCTTCTACACAAACGTTTCTCTGGCTTGTCACGCACTCTTTCTCACCGGAATAGAGGATATTTGCGTGACAAGTCAGAGGAACGTCTGCATAGCTAAGATGCTACGCCAAATGCGACAAGTGAGCTTGTCAATAGGCTTTTAATATTATTTAATTGGAATTTTGTTGAGGTAATGAAGGAGGCTGCGCTGTCCGCTGAGAAGAATAACGTCATTAGGCGTGGTAAGCAGAGTTGAAGTGTCAAAAGGGAGGCAGGAAGGGTGGTAAGGTTGCCGTTTCTCCCTAGCAGGGAGGGGTGGGGAAAACTCGTCGGGCTTGCTTCTACTCAAGGTTGTCACCAGCAAGCTGTAAGGGATGGACCATTAAAAAAATGACTGACATGTGGTAGGCAAAAGCAATAAAATGAAACATTTTTCTCAGTAAATAATTAAGAAAACAAAATGCTGGTCAAGTGAAAAAGAAAACGATTGACATCTCTGTGGCAGACTACCTTCAATGTTTGAAAAAATTCCTGTGTCCCCCAATATTCCATCCCCCTTCAATTTTCCAATGGTCCTTCCCTTAGTATCATAATACTATAACTTTAGCAACATACTATAACTGTAAATTGCCATATTTCAATATTGCAAGTTTAGTTTATTGAGTACAAACATACCGTATTTTAAACTTAAATAATTGACGCAGAGAACAGCCAAAATATAAATGAGCGCTGCATCCCAACAATGGGTGCATTTAACCCTTTAAGCCCTAAGAGTGATCAGCATCAAATTTCTCCTTGTAATAGCAATGCTGTGTAGACAGAGTGGTCATGAGAATTACAGACATGATCACACAAGATGAATTTGCTTGATATTTTATCAACTTCTCCCCACTACTTCTGTAAGCAAAAACTAGGTGCAACAAATGAGAATTTAAATTTTGATCTTAGGATTTAAAGGGTTAAACACTGAAAAATTTTGTTTTCCTGCAGAGGTGATATAGGCTCATTAATTTTAAGCTAGATATATGTACGGGCCATGATTGACTATCAGAGTAGGTATGTCTTGTTTTCCCTTTCTTTTAACTTGAGAAACCGGTTTTAAAATTGTTATTTATGCATTTCTTTTTGTGAATAATTTGATGGTTTCAAGCTAAAAGACTAAGCGTTAACAGTCTATAAAATTCTGATGTGTGCTTTCTTTTCTGTCGTTTATGTAGCCGCAAGGCAGCGATTTTTTTCCCTGACTCAAACCTACAATCACAAACAAAAGTAGTTGGGAAGGTTGTACAAGTTACCGGAAGTTCATTTTAATCTTCAAAAAAGATGTCTTTCCTTTTTGCTAAATATTACCCCTTTTCAATGTTGGGATATAACAGAACGATTACGAGCACAAACATTAAAGTTTTGCTCAACATTGGGCCAGAGGTGGCGGAAGACGGAAAAGAGGAAGAGGTAAAAAGTAACAGCCTTCCCAACACTTTTGACGATGATTGCAGTAAATGAAAAAACTATAAGTTGGTGGGGGAAGGTCCCTTATATAGTTCCTCAATCCCGCAGTCCCGACGGATTTTTCCGCCTTATTCCAATCCCTAGGGTATAGGATTCCTTTCGTATCTGCGGAAGTCCAGTCGAACGGATGGTCAGAAACGAAAATGGCACGATTAAAAGGAAAACTACATGTACTAGAGACCCAGATCTCGGTTCTTTAAAAAGACATCTCCCTATTCCAAATTCGCAAATTACTGAAATTAATGTGGCCAAATGACGCGTCCCGTTTGACGTTAATCCCTTAGTATCCCAAGGAGCAGACTAAAGTCTGAGTCTTGTTCCTCGATCTGTTTCCCGAATCTTTTCGTGTACAAGCCAAATCTCACATCCCGACAATCGAATCCATAAAAAAAGGAAAAGAAACACTTTTTCTCTTCTTTCTCCAAATGAAAGATAAAAGAAATAGAGAAAAGAGAAGGAAAATCTTAGTCAGTGTTTCTGGCTTAATTCAACCACTAGCTAACAAATATACCGTAATTTTTAGGGAGTTATTATAACTTCAAAAAAGGAGTAAAAATTTTAGGTACAGGATAACCCCTTTTTGGGGTTATTTTAACTCCTAATTTAACTCCGAATTTGGGGTCATTTTTACTCCTGAAAAAGAGTTCTTCTTACTCCCAGTCTGGAGTTAAAATAACTCCGAAATGGGGTTACTTTTACTCCTCATATGGGTTGTTTTTTTACTCTTTTTTGAGTTAATTTAACTCCGAAAGTGGAGGAAAAATTTTAGGTACAGGATACTCCTTTTTGGGGGTTATTTTAACTCCTCAATACCTGGGGTCACTTTTACTCCTGAAAAAGAGTTCTTTAAACTCCTTTTTGGAGTTAAAATAACTCCACTGTAAGGAGTTGAAACAGCCCCACTAGAGGAGTTATCATGAAGGGGGTCGGATCGAGCTCTTAACAATAATAATGAGCCCTGGGTTGTATGACTGCTGATTAAAACTTCTTTCCAACACTGTACTTGCAATTCCAAACACAAGCCCCGAAATTTCTAGTTCATTTATGTCGTTTTCCAGATCATTGCTCTTTATCCACAACAAACTACCGAGAAGTCATAATGAATATTCATCAATGGTTATTAGTGTCGACATTGTTTTGAGCGTTATTCAGCCTGATCGTCTTCAATATCCGAACGTATTCAGTCTCAATTTGTGCGAGATAACAACGAAGAAGGTCTATTAAATACAGGGTAAGTATTGTCATTTCATGGTGACTGTAATTGTAGGAACACTGTCTTAAAATTATTGTACGCAAACTATTTGTAATCCTGTAGCTAAGTCATCAAACTCATTTATTCGATAAGAATATGTACAAGTACTTGAATGGAATCAGTTTAGGAGTCGATGACTTTAATTTTCTCGTGCTGTTTTGGGACCAGTCCGTTGAGCTGCACTATTACGAAGTTAATGGCGCAGACATTTTCAGTTGTATCTTTTTCTTTTCATCATGTAAAACTGAATTGGCTGGATTTTTAAGTTATTTTGGTGCATGCGTGATTGCGCTCATCGCTAAAATGTTTCAGCCCATTGTTTAAGTGAAACTATTTTCAAGATACCCCGCAATAATTGTTTATCAAGTATCTTATTAGATCCTCATTCTCTATTGCACGTCGTTTTGCTTCTTGCTTACAAGTTCGTTTATTTCTTTTCATTTATCCTTCTGTCATTTAGTTATACGTCCTTTAGTTAGTAGTGCGACGCCGGGATCCGGTACCAAAATATTTTTTGTGTTTGTTTACAATTAACTGTCTGATCCGAGTTCGCCCTGTACGTTGAGCTCCATTGGGTTGAATTCGACTTGTTGTAAATGTAGTAAAAATATTTCAGTAAAGTTTTCACCCTCTTACCTCTGAAATTTAATATCAGCCTAGACAGTGAATATTAATAAATAGTGTAATCTGACTTTGATGAAAGGGCTACCCTGAGTAAAAGATAGTAAGGCTGATCTTGCTGTTTATCAGTGAAGTTTTGTCTTTTAAGAAAGTCAAGAAAAACCGAAGAGCACCCGCCCTTGATTTCTATAAATATCTGAATCAATCTCTGAACATTGTTATTTTGTTTTTTGGTTTTACTTTATTTTGGTTCACTGAACTAAACTATGAAACCATAAAGCTTTGTAGACATGCAAGTTAGATTACTCTTCTCAATTCTCCTACACCTGTACTAGAATAAAGAAAAAACTTGACTAAAGCTTCTCGAGTTAGGTTAGCAGCTTCTATGTTAACAGTAATTTTTCTTTAGAGCAACTGCTCGTTTATCGTTTCAAAGTCAGTGGCTATAGTTGAATAACTGGTGTGATGTTTTGGGAATTTAATTCTTGTTAAGGTGAGAGTAAGCGGCTGTCTATTCTTTGACTGACAGTGTACAAAATGGCAATTATGTATCTCATGGATCCGGAAGGAATGCTCAAACTCTTGGAAATGGTGAGCTTCATTAGATTAAATTATGGACCCTTTACTTGTTTGCCTTGTGTGTGGAGGCCACATAAGAGAGTGCTGACAGCGTCCATCCAATGACCCCAGGCGCCGTGCTAGAACGATGAGGGAGGCCTGGGGATGAGGAAGCTAGTTTTCCTAGTCTCAGGCTACACGTTCATGGCTTTGGGCGAATTTTCGACCGGCTGAAAATTTTGACGGGACAATTTGTTCATATGGGACCGTTTGATACAGTTTTTCTCTGTTCACAAGCAACTTTGAACGGCTTGGCGTCTAAATTTTGGAACGGTTACTGTAGTATACTACACCGACCGTTTTTCCTCGAAAAAAATGGGGCTATTAGGTAATAGTTAGCGTTTAACAAGGGGTAGCAGCTGATGGGGGTAAGTAACTCTAAATACCGATTCCTGATAAAATAAGATGACGTTTTGATTCTAGCGGTATTTTCTAACAAATCGTGTTGTATTGTGTAATTTCAGGTTCTTCTTTCGGCAGCCATAGCTTGTATCACCGAGTACCACAAAGATGTGTCCCTTTCAGACCTTCCCAACTGGGATTTTGATCGGGCGGCTCTGTTTTATGGCGTGTTTATTATTGGTCTTGTGATCGTTGTTTTCCTGTTCCTCAACTTTCTGTTTGGTTGTGCTTACAGTAAGAAATGTGGATCACCAAGAGGGTGGACGTCCTTTGTAAGTGCCTGATTTAATTATAATGCATGACTTGACTAAGCCCTGAGGCAATTAAATAATGCTCGCTAAAGCGGAAATACGCATTACCAAAAAAAACGCTTTTCTCTGTTTTTAGAACTGGAACTTTCAGGTTCTTTGGACTAGGAGAAGGTGACACTCGGATTCTCTTCTTCATCCGCGTCTCGCCTAGCCTCTTCTCGCGCGCGGCGATTTTCACTCGCGCAAGCGAATTTTGATCGATCAAGTATCCTTAACGAAAATAAGAGACTACTCGTAGTCTGTATTTTGCTTGGTCAGAGCCTTGGTGATGGTATAGGAAAGTAACATGAATTTTCTTGTTGGGTGTTCACGTTAATATCTATACGCGTCATAAAGAGGCGTGGTTCAGTAATGATACAATTCGATGTGAATTTATTTGCAAGACGGGTCATTTAAAAAATTAATTACTTTCCCGGAATTAATCGAACGCAAGTCAGTCAGCATTTTACCGCCTTTATTTTTTACCACTATACATGGTTAATCCCTACAAAAGAGACCGTCAGCGCTTTAACATCGACTTCTCTATACCAGCAAGAAAATCCGGATTTTATCCATTTTAAGCAACGGGCGGCTCCACCTCTTCAATGATGATCCTGATGGTTTGATACCAACTCGTCCAGGCGTCTCCTGCCTTAACCCCTGATCCAGTACAGTCGCCAACGCTGAATCCAACTTTCACCTTCCCAGCAGAAATCCCACCGCAGTAACCCTCAATGTTGGCAGGCCTGTGGATGTTTGCGTTAATACCGTGGTAAATGACTCCATCAATTTGTGCTGGATTACTGCACTCCTTACTGTTGAAAGTGAAATTCCATCTCTTGCAGCAGTGTGTGCAGCCTGTAATGCGAATAATACCCATATATACCACACGCAGGAAGGTCCCAGACTTCAGCTTGGTGAAATCGCAAGCCTGTATTTTCGAGAGAAGATTAACACAAATCCTGTTTGTGAAAACATTCGTTTTTCTGATGCAACTCGGGTAGATGGAATATTATTCATCAAGCAAGGAGGGAAAGGTTGGCGAAATAAATAAATCTCTCAAACAGTTTAATAGCAAAAGAACGCTGGCCCAAAGGGCAAGCTGAGCATGGCATAGGATGAAAAAATCAAGATCTGATTTTTCTGAGAGACTGATGATAGGGGAAAATGGAAATATTTAGGAATTAAGTTGGTACTCAAAAAGTGATAGATGAAGTGCCTGGAAGTGAGATATTTATGAATATTCAGTCATCTTTTCGGGTATATAAATATATATACAAATCCTCGACGGTTATAAAAGGGGGGATTTTTTTGGTTGACTTCGTAGTAGCCACTAAAAAGATTCGATTTTTCTTACAAAAGAAATGGGTTGATTACCCTATAATCAGTTGATATTTATTCCTTTCTCATTTTGTGCTATACTTACATGTACTTGTCCTTTGTCTCTGTCATCTCTTGACGTTTTAGAGGAAAAAATGCACTGTTTCCATCGACGTGAACTTAATGTCATTCCACCCGGTATGCCCGGGGTTCCTGAAATACCAGGAGTACCCGGAATCCCTGGAGCTCCGGGTTGCCCGGGAGATCCAGGTGCCCCAGGGGTTCCAGGTTGTCCTTGAAGAGAACATTGCTACAAGATAAAATGAACAAATCTTTTTTCAGAGACCACAAACTAACAGCTAACTAGTGGACATCAAGGTTTTATCAAGCCGGGCCCATAATGTTTAATACTCTCTCGATTTCATTACATTGGTAATCAGGTCAGATGAGCGTTCTACAAAACCTGGGAAAACAAGATACAGACTAGACATTTAACTCTCTTGAATAGGAGAATAGATCGGTCTGATTTCAGGTTACGCCTACTTCCTGACCAACTCCCAGGTATAAAGCGATAATTTTACAGTGGCTTCTGGCTGAGTAGTAAACTCTATTACGAAACTCCTAATGAATGGGACTCAGTAGAAACTGAGTTTGGGCTGTCCAGTTAAGCCGAGGGCATACACTGTAAAGACTTGTCCATAATGTAGTTCCTTAAAGATCAACTATACCTGCTGAAACCCGTTGCCTCCAATGATGATAACCCAAAGTACCAGTGCGTTGACAAAAAGATGTAGTTTCATGCCTGGTTCAGTTCAAAAAATACGGATCAGTTTAATACTCATGCGCCGCCGTTAGTTTAATGTTGGGTTCTGTCTTAAAATATGGCCGGCTGACAGGAGCCCATGATGTTTATAAATATTATTACTTTGGAGCTCTTCACTTCTTTGCTGTATTTTAATCAGTATTAGCTTTTAGCTTCTGAGTGTGTAACGACAAAAAAGATACGATTGAATCTTTGTCTTACAAACGAAAAAGCAGCATTAAAGAAGTTACAGTTGTATTTTTGTAGTTCTTTTCAACAGACAATATAGCAAACGAAAAACTCTGAGAAATGTTCCATTAAGTATCTAGCTTGTGTACCGCCAACTATATACATTGTAATAAATTTCAAGATAAAGAAAGGTGATTTAAGTTAATTCTGTTTATTATACTGGAAGGCAGATAAAACTGATTTCACTATAGACTTTGACCACAAGTCGAGCTCAAAATTTCTAGCACGAGCTAGAAATTTTTTATGTTTTAGGTGGACCAGAAACGAGAAGTGAAGGACTTTAGAAAGTCTTCATGATTTCGCTAATAAAAAAGTCTCTAAAGTGGAATTTAGGACGTCTTATTCTAGCTTGATGATAATTGAAGCGCAAAAACATAGCAATTTATAAAATTTCTAGTTTCTTACCTTCAGTATCAAATATGACTATTCAAGAGTCTGGCTTGTCTGAACTCATTGATCTAGAAAAAATAGAAATCAAGTGGATAAGGGTTCCAAAAAACTAAGAAACTGGCAAAAAGTTGCGACCTTACCGTCCGTCGTCAGATTAGCTAAATCACAACTCGCTGATAAACACTACTGAACCACAAAAAATCCTTGTTTTCTTGGTTAGCAAGTTCCCGTTGAAACAAGTTTATGTATCAGAATATAATTATGCACATTAGAACGTGATTTGCAATTATCATTCAAGCCACGCTATCTTGCTTTTGGCTGATTTCCTTTGTCACTGATGTTGTAAACATGTCAGGTTATAGATACCCTGCGAGCAGAGGCCCTTCGATCTTCCTAGATAAGTAGGAAGATCGAAGGGCCTCTGCTCGCAGGGTAGGTTATAGAAAGCTACGTATTAAATCCCTTCTTTTAAAAAGAGATAAGCCCATTAATACTGATCATTTATGACTTGTATATAATTCTAAATTAAAGATTTCAATTGTCTTCCTAATAATGACTGAGGGAAATCATGTTCTGATCGTTAAAATATATTGTTCCACTCAATTCAAGTCCTGGCATAAGTCCAATGAGTGTTCAGAGAATATGATTGATTGGCAATATCTTTCGCTAGGATAGCTAGAACAAGATGAATTTTTTTTTCCCAAAAGAATATCTTGAGGTCTTCTTGTGACATAGCCATTAATTATGGTCACGTGACATGTCTCGTGACTAAAAATTGAAAATGAAGGAAATTGGTACCCTGGGTGCCAGAGGGTTTTCATGCGCGGTTTTCGGTTTCGGTCAAGTCTTAAGAAGTGCTTCGCCACTCGTGTCATCGCTCTTCGGCCGACGAAGTTCCTAGTAGCACGCGAGAAAAAACCTCTGGTACCCAGCGCAGGAAATTGCTGGCGAATTTACTTTCTTTGGATAAATAAACTGGCGTTTCTGATAGAGGATAAACATAGTTTACTTCCAATGTTTGAAATAAATGTATACTGACCCCCCCCCCCCCACCCCGTGACCACCTCGGTAATACGTTCGCCTCATTATTACGGCCACTTTTTTTGGCCGCCCGTCAAAACGACCATACATTTTCTTGTAATTTTTTAATTGAAGTGCAATGGACAGTCATTCCAAACATGGAGTGCTAGAGTTACTTAATATGAATAAGAACAATGTTATTATTTGATTTTTTTTCTTAAACCCGTCACCAATTTCACAATTGTTTACCAACCAACTAACATGATATTTATACTCTAAAATATTAAGGACGATGAGTTCTTTATGTGTACCAAATTTTAATTCATTTCCTTCCTCTTTCCCAAAGATATAGCCAATAAATCATTTTTCAGGGGTAAACCCATCAAAACCAGGCCTTGAACTACTTGAGCATTCCCAGAAGGTTATTTGCACAGTAGAATCCTGCGAGTGAGGCTTTTTATAGACTACCAAAAAAGCTTGAAAGGTTACGAGTTCGAGTTCATTTCTTACTGTTACAGTAAAAAATATGGATCACAACTAGGGTAGACTTCCTTTGTAAGTAAAAACGGTTTACTCAATTTTCATAACCGCAACCTGAAGGTGCTTTACCGAGGTGCTTTGGACTAAGAGTAGTCCTTCGTTTTCTTCACTATACAGGGATTATTGAGCAAGCGAATTACGTAAGCGCGAGCGAAAAGCGCCACCCACGAGATGAAGGTGACACCAGCCAGAGTACCTACCCTCTATTCAAACTGGAAAAACGGAAAATCGATTGGTTTGGTGAATTCCGTCTGGGAAGCTTCCGTGAAAAATACGGGCTGTGATTTGACGCGATGCAATTTCTTTTTAGTCTGTTCAGAAGATTTAGATATACGTTTTAGCAGGCCTGTTCTCCTTCCGCGTCAAAGTTTAGTTTATGTTTATGCACAAGGTTTCTACTCAGGTGGTTTGTGCGAATGGTAATCAACCCCGGTTTCTCTCCTTCCTCTGCGTCTCGTCTCTTCTCGCGAGCGTTGATTTTTACGCGCGCTCGCGAATTTCGATCCCCCAACTACCCGAGGATAATGAGACACTACTCGTACTCTATAGATTCTTGGGGAGAGCGTTGGTGACGCTTTAGTGTTAAAGGGCAACTTTCGCGTAGGACATCTTTTTTCGGAAAAACCTTGCAAATGTTTTTCTTAATGTAATACCATCAAGAAATATATCTTCAACGATCTTTTTGGCTCAGAAATCAAAATATAAAGTGTTAAATTTGCCGCTTATTCGATCTTCCACCATTAACGCTTCGATTTTGCTGATCACGCGACGTGACGTCACACGTGTGGAACAACAAATGATCTCGAATATGGCTGACTGTAGTTCGTCACGTGATAGCGCTACCTCTTTGTCCGATTATTCGGATGTTGAAGAACTTTTAGATATCCGCGGCGCTTTATGAATAATAATAAATGTTATTTAGCCAGGGTTATCTCTTCAGCATAAAATGCTGCTATCAATGAGGGCGCTGGAAAAGACGCGTAAATTATGATGCAATTTGATGTAATCATGCTTGCAAGGGACTCAAAAGCCCGGGGGGTTCTCCCCTACAAAAGTGACGGGGGTGCTAATCGTACCTTTTAGGGGTTTAAATTTGTGGATTGGAATCGCTTAGGGTGCTAACACCTAAAATGACTGATTATCATAAAGATTCCTGACAATACTTTAAAAAAGTCCTTGAGAAGAAAGTGTTCGAAAGTTATTTTATTACTATTAAAATTTGCAGTGCCAGTTATATAAGTTGTTGTTGTTGAATTGGTACCTGTTAGGGGTGGAAATGAATTTGGGACAAGCCCATAAAGCAAGATTATGGTACCTTTTAGGAGTAACCTGAGATTAGGATCAATTTTCGTTTCGCTTTGTAAATAACATTCCGGCGGGTAAGGCGACCAATTTTAGCGGTAGCCATTAGAGAGAATGTATGACAACCGCTAAAATTGGGCCTGATCTCAGGTTATTTAGGAGTGTGCTCTAAATTTTCCGACGAGCACCTTCGTCAATTTTATAGGGGAGTACCCCCTCGGACTCAAACGGTTCCTTCAAAACATTAATTACTTTCCCGGAATCAATCGAACACAAGTTAGTCGTAATTTTGCAGCCTTTATTGATTACCACTAGGCGTGGTTAAGCTCTACAATAGACCGTCAGCGCTTTAACATCAGCTTCTCTATACTAGCAAGAAAATCCGGATTTTATCTATTTTAAGCAACGGGCGGCTCCACCTCTTCAATGATGATTCTGATGGTTTGATACCAACTCGTCCAGGCGTCTCCTGTCTTTGCCCCCGATCCAGTACAGTCCCCAACGTTGAATCCAACTTGCACTTTTCCTGCTGGAATCCCACCGCAATAGCCCTCAATGTTGGTAGACCTGTGGATGTTTATTTCGTTGCTTTGGTAAACAATGCCATCGATGGGCGCTGGTTTGCTGCACTCCTTACTGTTGAAAGTGAAATACCATTTCTTGCAGCAGTTTGTGCAGCCCCGAATACGAGTGACACCCATGTATACCACTCGCAAGAAAGTGCCAGACTTCAGCTTGGTGAAATCACATACCTGAGGTCACGTGGAAACGATTGAAAAGGCCATTTCCGAGTTCCAAAAAATCTCGCCTTCAAAGCGAGGCTAAGTGCGAAGCCACTGATATGAAAATGATTTTTAATTATGATGCAGATAAAACTCATTTTCACAACAAAGGTTTCGCACTTAGCCTCGTTTTGAAAGTGAGATTTTTTTTGGAACTCGGAAATGGTCTATTAAAATGAATAGAGGGGAGGAGTCGTTACTTCACGTTCCCATGGTAGCAAAATTTCTGGATGACAACAAACTAAAAAGGTGAATTCGGACTGTTTCAAATTTCATCGATCTTATTCAATTTCATTTAATTTATCAAATTTTGGCAAATTTTCTAGGGTTAAATCCGAAAGGACCGTATCTAAGTTTAGAAAAAGAAAAAGGAAAATTTTTGTGTGGTGCTCGCCTACTTCGTAAGGCGGGTGGGTGAAGTTAAAAAGTTTCACGTCGCAGCCGTGCAACGACGGCTAAGAACAGGAGCGTAGCTAGGGGGGGTCTTGGGGTGCCCGTGACCCCCCCTTGGTAGGCCCTCTTTTGAGCAAACAACCTACAATATTCAGGTGGCGAAAACGCCATGACGATATCTTGGCCATAAAAGCCATTGTTAAAAAGCCCACTTTTTTAAAATTTGTTTTTTGTAAAGTATTTTCGTCAACGGCTCTTGTCTTTAGTTAATATGGGCCTTCACGCCGCGATAATACGACTGAGCCCGCTGATACACGAGGGGGAGCAGCGGTATAAACCACATATAGTAACATTAAGTAAAACATGCACGGCGTGGAGGTCGACATGACAATCTGGTGAGTAGCCTCTGTGACCCCCCTTTTGAAAAATCCTGGCTACGCCCCTGAAGAAACGTAAAAAAGCGTGATGCACGTGCACAATTGTTGTTTTGCTGATATAAACCTGTTGCTTTTTTCCAGTTCTCTTTACCGTCGCCAGCGTCGTTGCTTAAGCTCTCTATTATTGTGATCCAGAAATTTTGCTACCATGGTAACATGACGTCACACTTCTTTTAAATTTTAAGCATGCGAGTCGGCACACTTGTCGGAACATTCACTAAATATTACTGAACTAATGAACTAAGACTAGACGAAGATCTTTGTTACCAGTTAGCCTTGGTAGTGTTCCAGGTCGTTGAACGTGGAACACTACACAACCTGGCAAGCCTTGGCAATATTAATGAGTTTAAGGCCCCGTCTACACGTATCGGCAACTTTTTCTTTCCGGATTCAAAAATTTCCACGTCCACAGGTATCCTTATTCAAACTGAATTTGCCCGTCCACACGTATCCGACACGTATGAACAAACGTATGCAGATTTACTTTAGTACCCAGGACTTCTCTGGGACCATTGGTAACAGAGCAAGCTTCGTAAAGACGGGTAAGAGAGAGAACCTGGGAACGAGGTTTCCATCTTGAATATTCACGATAAACAACTGGGTGATTCGATCTGGTAACTTTACAGGATAAACAATACCCGGATTTAGCGTCCACGCGATTCTGGATTCATAGCGTATTCAAAAATTTCCACACTGGAGAGCGGATTAAAAAAGTTGCGGATTCGTATTCCAGATTCACCGGATACGTGTGGACGGAAGTCGTATCCGGAAGGAAAAAGTTGCGGATTCAAAAATATCCGGATCTGTGTGGACGGCCGGGGCCTGAGTCTCCAACTGAACTGTCTGCGGTGCCTAACCATCTTAATTACGAGACAGTTAATCAGTTAATAGCCACTGAATATACCTACATGCACTTGCCCACTGTCTCTGTCATCCCGTGAATTAGAAGATGACCAAACGCATTGTTTCCATCGCCGTGAACTAAATGCCATTCCAGGAGTTCCACAGATACTGGGGGTGCCTGGGGTACCGGGGGTGCCCGGGGTACCGGGGGTGCCCGGGGTACCAGGGCTACCCGGAATTCCCGGAGCTCCGGATGCTCCAGGTGCCCCAGGGGTCCCTGGTAGTCCCGGTTGTCCTTGAGAGCAACATTCCTATGGGATAAATGAATTCGATAGATGCTGGACATTACAAATCTTCATCCGGCGCCTTAGAATATTGTAACGCACATAGAAACTCTGAAAATTGTCACTGAGTGCAAGCTATATAAAGATTTAAGTTCTTGAAAACGGGATAAAAGGGCACCTCATTTAAAGAGGGTCTCCATCTAATGGCAGACTGATAATTAATATCCAAATAGCCTGCGAGCAAGTTGGTGCTCTGGCGTAACATATATTTCCTTAATGAATGGCTGTTCGATACCTGCTTTGTACTGTTGTTGCCACTACAGATGATGGACAATGGTAAGAGAATGATGAAAATGCGATAACTGAAATACTCTTTCATGTCGGCTGGTTCTGTTTAAAAGAACAAACAATCAAAGTCACTGATATTACAAACTACCCATTTAATAGCGCAGCTTAGAGGTTTTTCCCTTCTCAAATGTCGTGATCGGGTGTCATGATCATGAGGCCCGCGGATAAAACGAGAAAGGTTTTCAGTTATTCACGAGTACTTGCTTCAGTTGCCTTGCTTGCCAGAAATGGAAGTTCAAAACTGAACTTTTTTAAAAAGGCTAGTAAAAAAAAACTACCAATTCCAGCCACTGAAAGAAACAGGTAAAATGATCTTTTACCTATCTCTTGCACTTTTTTAAATCCCAAATTTCTGATACTATTAAATCCTCTCCTATTCCTTTCACGCTTGGAAAACTGGCAAAAATCACAAGGAACAAGGTCCGTGTGGTTTCGTCCATTTGATTTTCATTCAATATTGGAAATTGAAAATCAAAACTTCACAATCGTGATTTTCAATGTTTGATTCCTCAAAAATTGAAAATCAAAAATTTACAAACTCAATTTTCAATTTTTGTTGCTAAGAAAAGTAAAATTAAACATCATTCTTCAATATTTTGAAAATCAAAAACTATTGAAAATGGCCAGTTAGTGGTTTTAACTTTTTGTTTTCAATTTCCTCCTCCCAAGATTCAAGCTAACGGTTTCCGGCATTTTATAGTAAATTTCAGTAATTGTCTACATGCGGAATTCCCAATGTCAAATAAAATTAATGATTACATCTAAAACTTTGTCAACTGTTTGGTTTTTAACAGTACCTGGGCCGGGTTGTTCAAAGCTCGGTTAAGATAACCCAGGCGAGGAGGGTTAGTGCGAAATTTGAACTCATATGTGAGAGCTTCATTTTGCCAACAAGTTGATGATTGGATGCTCTTAAAAATAACTGAGAAAATTATCCAAAGAAATGTTTTTTTAACGAAAGAAAAAGAAACCCGGGTTAAGCGCTGATCGGCCTTCGAACAACTGCGCCCTGCAGAACATCTATTGCGCCAGCAAAACAAAAAGTTCTTTTTACACGCCCGAAGCACTCTGGCCAGTGTCTCCTCAAATAAAAAGCACTTGACACAAACCATACGATACCATGCTGATCACTAGCCTTCAAAACCTTTTCATTATGATACACAGTTTACGTCGAGGTTTCGCTGTACGCAACCCTTACGTTCAAAATATGCTATAATCATAGTTATCTCTCGCAAGAACCATCCACCCTTTCCCCTCAACTCAGAGCTACCTGTACGCCTAGCAAACATATCGAATGCACTCTCGTAAGCTCCGATTACTCCAAGTTTTTACATAACCTGTATCAAATAGGCTGAAATGACTAGATATCTTTCGACTTCGTGTATACGATCGCTGCGGAAAAGCAAACTAAAAATTGCCGAACAGGTTGTAAGTTGCGTATGCCGCCCTTACGGTATATGAATCGTTTCTTCTCTTACATTAAACGGATTAACATAAAACAAAACACGTTTGATTTCGTGATCTAAGGTCCTTCCAATATTCAAAAAGAGAGAAAAATTCATTATTAGCTTTGATTAATTTTATTTTTTAATTTGTTTTTTTATTTCCACTACTTTCAAGATTAGTCAGAAGTCATGAATCCGAGTAAATTTTTTTTTCTTTTTTTTAAATTTTGGGTGCGACACAGCTATCCTTAGTCTAACTGAACAATTCAAGAAAGAATTAGATAATCACAAAGTCATGAGTCTGGTGTCTATGGACCTGTCAAAAGCATTTGACACCCTTCCCCATGATCTTATTGTCAAAAAGCTTGAAGATTACGGTGGAGACTCAAAAGTTATCAATCTCGTTACGAATTATTTAAGTGACAGAGAGCAACGTGTTAGATTGAGTGGACAGCACTCTTCTATGAAAACTATAATAAAGGGTGTCTTCCAGGGATCAATTTTGAGTCCCATTCTCTTTAATATTTTCATGAATGACCTGTCTTATGCTATAGATGAATGCACATTATTCACGTACGCCGATGACACTCAATTGTTTAAGTCTGCGGAAGATATCGACCAGGTTGAACATGCCATAAATGCCGATCTGAAAAAGGTTGATAAGTGGTATAAATTCAATCAAATGAAAAGAAATCATTCAAAATATCAAGCAATTATTTTTGGAAGGGTCGAGAGAAATCCTGTGTTGACCTGTGAAGGAACCGTTATCCCTATTCAAGACGAAATGGAACTCCTTAGCGTCACTCTCGATAACAAGCTTAAGTTTGAGGGACAGATTCGTAAAATCTATCGTAAGGTTAGTCCACAGGTTGCTGTTCTCGATAGGCTGACTAAAATATTGCCTTTTGAATTGAGGATAGATATATATCGTGCTTTCATTGCACCGCATTTCAATTACTGTTCAGAGTCGTAGCATCACTGTGGTAAAAGAGGTTCCGGCAAACTTAAGAAAATCAATGAACGAGCCCCTCGCTTTGTGACCCGTGACAAGTCAACCACCTACGAGACGTTGCTAAAACAACTAAGCCTGCTGTCCCCACTTAATCAAAGAATTGTTAAAATGGCCACCGGTGTTTACAAAGCTATCCATGGGTATAAAGTCCCTCGAGGAATGGGAGAGCTATGGTATGAACGATCAACTAATTATAATCTTAGAGGAAAACACATCCCCGAGCTACCCAAAGCAAATACAACCACCTAAATTGGACTTAATTCGTGGCGTTATACTGCAGCTAAGATTTGGAACGCTCTTCCGGATCAGTTTCGTGCCGCTAATAAAATCGGAACATTTAAGAACTTGATGTCTAAGTTCGATTTCTCAAATTTTACATTTTAATCGCGCAAATACATGTAAATACATTTTGCTTAGTTTTAACATCATTATGTAATAATCTCGTGATCTACTCTTAGTTTTAATAATTTTTAACTGTATATATATATATATATATATATATTTATATAGGTTTTTATGAGAAATCTTCTCTTTCTATTATTTCTAGTTTATTCATTTATTTTTCGTGGCATGTCTGTAAAGTAGCTAATTAGCAAAGAACATTGGCCACGTTAAATAAAGGGTATTATATTATATATTTTATTATATATTCCAAATATCTTTTGTAGTTTAAAGATCTTCACTGTTCAAACCATTCAAAACTGACAAAAAGATAAAAGTCTTTATTAATGACAAAATCGCGTCCACATAATTTTTCATTGATCATGCTAGATCGCGCTTCTATCTTAAAAGAAGATAACTGACTTTAAGAAAAGACAGGGCCGACGTTTATTCAGAATGCAATGTGTTTCTTAGGTATGATCTTCTCCAATTACTGCTTTGTTTAATTCTAAACTTAAGTTATTTTTTCTTGGTATAAGCACACTTCAGCTCTCTTAATCATCTTTTGTGTAGTTTTTCGCTTCTTTCGCTTGTTTTTCCTCTTTTATTCTAGCATTATTTTCCTCACCTTTTCTCCCTCGTTTTTGCACTTACACGTTTTTTCAGCCTTTTCTATTTTTATCCTATTGAAGAATTGTTTTCTATGTTCCAAACAAATTGTGCGTACTAAGAGTTAAATTGCCGATGTCAGTATTGTAATTGTTAATTAGGTAACATAATTTTAAAGGCGGTCCTATTCCCTTGCCTCAAGATCATCTTTTTTAAAAATTTTATATGTATATTTTGTGTGTATAGCATAAAGATAATAAAACAATAAAACAATAAAATTTTCTCTTTTTTCTTTTTCTTTACTGCATTTCTATTCCTTTCTTTTCAACGCACTTCATTTGAGTGTCGATCTCAGTTGATTTTTGGTCAAATCTAAAATTGCAGCCAGCAATTGAGTGACCTAGCCAGCTGGTCCTTTAATTTCGAGTTACTCTTGAATTCCTTAAAACATTTCACTAAAATTTTGTGTCTTTTTACAGAAAAATATTTTGCAAACGAGTCTTAAATCACTTGAATGAACTCTTTCTGAAACGAACCCCGTTGAGGCCAACACTATTGGAAACGTCCGTCGTTATGGAGGTATCCCCTTTCGCACCGAGTCAAAGAAAACGACTGAAGAACGACACAAGGGCTAACTATAGGTCTATAGGTCCCCATAAGTGTCTTTCTCTTAGAGGTGTCTGTCAAGAGATAAATATGATTTTAAAGTTATTTACTAATATTCACCTACTTGCTAAAAATCTCTGAAACTAGAGACATAATTTTTCCAGAGGGAAGACCAACAAAGCTTACCTTTTGCCTCAGCAAACCTGCTGCTAAAAAGGAGGAAGAGAGAAAGCAGTGACGAAAACAGCACCTTATTTTCCTGCAAAGCAAATTACGTATCAGCCTTGACTCATCCAGGAAATAATAATGTGTGGATTTCCATTACTCTGCACGTAGCCCTTTTCTTCCAGCTGGGCAAGCAAAATTAACATAAACGAATTCCTGCTTCCACAGCTGTCGAAAACCAAACTGTTGTGCGCAAACTATTGCTTCGTATTATGAACCGTATAATAATTATCCAATAAGCAATAACTAAATATAATTAACTTGCATTGCCGAAACAAGCTGCGTTTTACCTTCGCAGCTGGAGACATTCCCAAGGTAAACGAGCTTTTAATTAATATTTTGATTCACACGAAACCCTGTGAAGTGATAGTGTGCAAGAAAATATTTGAAATTTTAAAATCAATGTTTAATTTGGGGTTTTTCGTTTGGTGGATGTGGCGGTTGTAAATTAAAACTGAGAGATAACTTATTTTGACTGTTATATTTTCGTATTAAATTATGAACTAACTTTATGTTTGTCTTAAGGTTACAAGCCGTCTGACATATTTGCGTTCGAGGTACGAGAAGGCAACCCCTAATTTGTGTTGGGTGTTCTGTACATTATCGGGTGGCCTGTGCAATTAAAAAGGGAGGTTTTTTCGAGATTGCGTTTGTCGTCGTCGTCGACACACATTTGCCTCGCTTTGAGGCGCTTGCTAACGTTTTGCCTCACTTTGACGAACTAACTCACGTGGTGATTCGTGCGTCCTCAAGCGTTTGCTGAGGTCTTTTATTTTCTCTTCGTAAAGCGTTCATCTCAGTTTTAAAAGTTTGCTGAATCTCTGTAAAGCGTACATATTTCAAGACTTAAACGAAGTTCTACTATCGATCTGTGTTTGCTGAATCATTCAAAACGTTCATCTTTCAAAAGTTTCGACGGCCGTTGTGCCACAAAGTAAATCTACCGAGATTTGAAACTCGGCGGCGCCGTTTCATCATGACTTGTGATATTTTCGGCACCGGACAAACATTTTAGGCCTGTTACTTATTCGGAAAAACTTACAAACAGCCCACAGTAGCTCCACTCAAGTCACTGAAATCAACACACTCGACCAAACTACTGCACTTATTGAGACGGACCATACGATATCAGTAGCCTTCAAGGCTTTTTCATAATTATACACAGTTTAAATAGAGGTTTCGCTGTAAGCAATCCTTACGTTTAAAATATGCCATGATCAAATTAACCGGTTTTCATAATGATCTCTACCATCGCTGTGATCGCAGCCGCGATCATATGAAACCACTCTCCAGCGATCGAAGAGACAACAATCGCTGAGATATAAAAAGTTCTATCTCAGCGATCGTTGTTGCTGCCATCGCTGGAGAGTGGTTTCCATATGATCGCTGAAATTTTTTTTCTCAGCGATCACAGCGATCGTAGCGATCATATGAAAACCAGGCTTAATCTATCGTAATAACCATCCACCCTCCCTCCTCAACTGCTACCTGTACGCCTTGAACGGAACGCACTCTTCTAAGCTCCCATTACTCCTAGTATATTTTAATTAACTGAAATTAGCACTCTTAAGATTTCTTTATCTAAGAGACCATAGCCACTTAAGTCTGTTTTCTTAAAGTCACTGAGTTTTGCAAATTGTCATGGAAGAGTTGTACCCGACGATAAAGCCTTCTATTAATTTGCTGGTTTAAGTTATTTTGCGGAGTTTTTCTTGAAGAAACAACGGAACTTGAGTAAGAAGAAAATCAATCACGCTCTAAAAGTGGGTGGAGTCATCTAGTAAACGAATGAAGGATGTGAAATGATGTCAAGAAATAAATTTATACTCATTATATATTTTAAACGTATTTGCTGTTACGGTGGCTCACTAGAAAACCAAATGGTTCACTGGCCATCATACTCAAGCTTTAATATTAATTCAATGGAAAAGTTTACATCGTAAACAACAATCTATAAAGTCTGTAACTTAGCATTAGTTAAAGTATTGAGAAAAAATAAACTGAACTTATCACACGTCATTCGTTGTGTTCAAACTAGTTTAAGTAATAACTGCCGCTCCACAAGTTGGTATAATTATTCTTGGTGACTTAAAAAAGTAAGGTCGTCTGATGGCATGCGAATGCTTCCATGAATATTTTCTTAGAAAACTCATAAACAGACGAAGGGTCCACTGAATACTTTTATTCCAACTATAATTATATATTTTTACTTTTCGAAAAATTTTACAATTTGTATAATAATAACAATTAATAATGATAATGTTAAATAATGATGGTGATGATAATAATGATGATGATGATAATGATAATAAATAATATTCATTCAAGATGTCCACATCACCTTTTCCGTTGGGCGCCTGCAAGGTGAAAACTGGACGTTTTCTTGAGTTCAACACTCTTATTTTCATGCAGCTTTAACTGTTGAAGCCCCACTATCCTTATTTGTTTAGTTTAGAGGCTAGAATTTGTTAAAAAGCTATTTATAGTTCACAGGCTAGGATTTTTAGTAATCATTTTACTACTGTTTTATTACGTCTCAAAATCAGTTGTTGATTACACTTTGGTAACAACAGAGGACTGAAGTTTTTCAATCAATCTCAGTCCTTCATTGTTAACTAATACAAAGTTGTACGTGTACTTCAGTTGTATTTTATCCTGCATGCGTTTTGTAATCTTCTGCAGACAAGGTCTTCACCACCGAACACGTCAGCTAGATAGTTAAAGAATTGGGATTAATTGATATGCAGTTTCGTTTTTCTCACTGCGAACCTCTCTTCATTAGGTAATGGTTTTCTCGTTGATCTGGGCTGTACTGTGCGCCATTGCATCAGGATTGTTCAGTGAAGTAATCGCAAAGCTACAAAAAGAAAATTGGGATCAATCAAAGGATGAGCGTATTCAATGGCGCTACCAACAGGCCTTGGCAGCTGTGGTAAGGAAGTCGCCTAATTTTTCGTCCTAATGTTGTTTCAGTTCTGGCCAACCTAGTCCCTAGGTGTTCTCTCTTGCCCCGTTGTCCGCGCGAAGCCTGGGAAAGAGCGGGCGTGTATCTCTCGGTGACGTCACAGCTCACGGTAGAGTCCAGGATTGAACGAGCCGAAAACACCAAGGGACTAGGCTGAGTTCTGGCTACTATTGCTACTGTTGTTTAACTTTTATTCTGATGGCTTTGCTTGCCTTCCTCTAGAAACAAAGTGCCACAGCTTTTGTTTGAAAGAAACGTTTCCTGCATGTAGTGCCTTGTTCACGCCCTGCTGCAGCTGCTAATTTTTGGATGTTTCCTAAGATTGCTATAGTTTACCTGAGCAATGCCTTTTATACAAGCTTGCACTCCAGACCGGCTCGTCGCGTATACATGTATTTTTGATGATCCCTGGTCAGTTGATTCAACCATTTACCAAAAGAAATAAAATTTCGAGGGATGCCAAATTATGGCAGTCAAAAGCAACTCCTGGTAGTGTGAAAACGATGGTAACAACGTTCTTTTGTTTTGGTTTGTTCTTTTTTTCAGACCCTGGGGTTTATATCTTTCCTGACATTCTTGGTGGATGCAATTCTTCACTACCGAATAACCACGTCAACTCAGTAATAAAGAAATCGCCTTTCGCTTGCCTCGTAGAAATTAATCTTTTTTAAAATTCCTGGGCCAGTTAATTGATCAAGTTAAATTTATTATTATTATTTCTTTATTTCTCATTTCTTCAGTTCTTCCTCGGCCCACAACTTTCATTAGTGTGTAAATTAGGTCATAAAACTTATTAAGTAATTGATTATTTTAATTCATTAGGCTCGGTGGGGTTTCTGGTTGTGGGACTTATTTGAAAGTCCTCAACACACGATGTGCAAATATATATATAAAAAAATTCAATGCTGCTCTCTTTTTTAATTAAAAGAAAAAGCAAGCAGAAAAAAAGGTAATGCTTTCATAAAAATGCTTTGCAGCCTGTAGTTTAAAACAAAATGGTTAAAAAAAAGAAATCTTCGTTACAGTTTCGTTCTTGAGTATTCCATTAGTACTACATGCTATACTAATCTTAAGAGATCGCTGCGTCCCATCTTGTGACGCTTCTTTGAGGACGACCTGTACTAGTCTTACATGTAAGTTATCTTGTGTACGCTGAATAATTAAAAAAGAATAAAGTATGCATGTTCTCTCGTATATACCAACAATAATGTTTTTGTTTTCGACGTTATCAGTTCGGCTGACCTCTTCAAGAATGCTCACGCTTGCATATGGCCGATGTCCAATGTCAATATTTGATTATAAGGCCTGAAGCATCGAAAGAAGTGAGAAAAATAGGGAGGAAAAAGGTTACGGAATTGAGGAAAGTCAATTTAAGAGGAGTCCTTATATAACATCTTACCATATTTGTGAAAAAGGCTGTTAGTAACAAAAAAAACAGTACCACAAGTCAAGTCACAGGAAAAAAAGGGGGGAGGGAAAAGGTGTAAAAATGACACTGAAATGTAGAAGATAGATATGAACAGGCATTGTTAAAGAAAAGGACAAAACATTTTCTGTCCATTAGACTATTAAATTTATATGAAAAACTGTGCCCTAGTCTTGACCGACGCAAGACTAAACACACGACGCAGTTAGCCATAGGAGGCCTTTTGTTTCGGAATCAAAAGCCACTCGAATTTTAGAATTTGCCATAACGGTTTAATAAGATTATGTACTACTCATTCAAAACATTTCTCCGTTTCTGATTTGTAGAAATCCACTGGCTAATTCTTCATACCTAGCCGGCGTTGACCAAATTTGGAAGAGGCACGCAATAGATTCGTTGGTATATTAACCTGGAAACGAGGCTGCTTGTCAGAGGACGAAATAGCTGAGTTTCTGACTAAAACTGAAAGGAAGAAATGCAAGAATACGCCAAAAATATCGCTCGATGAATATTATGGACATTTTTTGAGGAGTATAAACAACTGTTGACAGTCGACTCCTGATTACTCGAACCTTCTAGGGAACTAGAAAAAAGTTCGAGTTATGGAGAGTTCGAGTTATCGGGAGTTTGAAGCAAATCATATAAACGGAAGTAAGCAAATTGATGGGGAGGGAATGCAATTAAGCAACGAAGTATACAGGAATGGACACTGAATTTCAACTGGAGCGACAAAAAAGTGAAGACAAAGAATTGACTCGGTTGTTTTGCAGAGGGAGTAAAAACGACTCGCGAAGTAATCGCTGAAATTCAGGCTAATGTACGAAGAAAATCCAGGGGAAATCGACTTTGGTTCGAGTTGTCAGGAGTTGACTGTATATCATGAGTATCCTGAAACCGTGCCGAGAAAAAGGCCAAAGTTTTAAAGAAAGTCTATGCCCGAGGTAAGATAATAAAACAATCATTCGAAAATGTGAGGATGTATGAAGAGCTTGCAGGAGGCTTTTATCCAACTTGGCCGAAGGATAACAGTATCCTCTATCTGTACAATTCTTCACACCATGGCCATGATCAGCCTCATACAAAAATTGATGATTATCAGCTAGGGTAAATTGTATACTTTCATTCTCTGGTATGTTTGTTGTAACAGAGGTCTCTCGAGTACCTTCCCCGTTTGAAAGTCAGTTTCGTGTTGTTTTCCAGTTAATAGTTTTGCATTTCCTGAAGCATCAAACTGCTTGTCGTTTTTTTGGAATTACTGTATGATAGACGATCAGTACTCACTGGTCATCGACAAGATTTATCATTTTTAAACTACCCATGATAACATTGACAGTGAATTTGACCCTTATCAGCCTTATGACAGATGAGATTTCAGAAGATTAAAGAGTTGTAAAGAATAAAAAACACGCAGGTGTAGTATAGACTCTATTTGTGATTAAGATCTGTTTTTACATATTTCCTTTAGCTAGCCTATTTTTAGTGCCAACGTTTTCATCGTGTATGATTAATTACGTCAGGCAAGCAAAAACTTTCTAAAACATGCAAAAAATGTTAGTCAGATTGCATCTGACCAACATAGACCATCAAGTAGATGATATTCAAACATCAACTTCCTTCCAAGTTTTAGGTGGAATGAGAAAGTTAATCTCCCAGAAAAAAAAAAATATTTGTACGGGCGTTGATGTTTCAATCTACTTCAATTCAATAGCATGACTCAAATGTCTTTTCTTGGTAAGTTTTTCGTTCCAGCAATAGGACATTAAGCCACATACAAACTCTTTTGCTCCTGTTTATTAGATTATAACCGTTTAGAGGCTCTTTATAGGCTCTCAATTCCGTCAGAGAATAACAAAATTGTCCCGGTCTGCTGAATCAACGTTCGGAAAACGTTTCAGTTCACTTGTAGTCTTTAAATACTATATTGTCACAAACTGATATTCAGAGGGGTATTGTTATCTCACAAAAAGTTGCAAGCTGTGTTTTCGCCTTTCCAACTGGCCAGATAAATTACTATGCTAAAATCGACTTATATTCTGACTCAAAACGATATAAAGAAGTCATGATCAGTTCAAGTTTATGTTTCCATTGCTACCTGAGCTTAAGGAAACAAACAGTCGTTATTCTGAACAAGCATCTTGTTGGGTGCTCCTTATCTAAAAGTTATTCAAGGCATCTCGTGATCAATAGGAGTGAACTTAATTATAACCCAATACATCACAGGAGGGGCCAGTCAACCCATTGGCCTTTGATTTTCCACTCTAAACAAGGAGCTAGTTTCCTTGCCTATGGCCTTGTTTATTGAAAGTTTACTTAATTTCTATCGTTTCTACTACGCGGGAAAAAAAGCAAATTAAATCTCTTTCAGAATGAAATGTAAGTTCTTAAGTAGTTGTAGGTATTTCCCTCTTTTTTGGAGCCTCTGACTAAAACAAATGCCGCATTTTTAACTAAAGAAAAAAGGGTTAATTGAAGAGATACTCTGATCTGGTGACGGCTGTCTTTGTGTGTCAAGTTGAAATGATTAATGTCTAATGTATCTCCGAAATAAAATATCTTTGTAGACAGTTATTAATTGGCGTCTAACCTTTTGGCCCAAGCATACTCGAGCAGATTGAGAGCACGCTATGCAATGGTACCCGAGATGTTTACGATATCACTAGTTATTCTATACCTGGTGGAATGAACGCTTTGTTGAAAATCACCCTCTACTCGTGATCGTATCGAGATCTTAAGAAAAAAAATAATTTTTGCAACATCCCATCCCGAACAGCACCGTTCTTTCGGATGTGAATAAACTGTGTAAGTTAGTGAAGAACGTAAATGAGATCAAAAGATTACGACGCAGAATTACCCAATTTTTTGAGGATGATCAGGTTGGCCTAAAATGATCCATTTAGCCCTTAGCCTTGTATATAAGTTGCAAGAGTAACAAGCGGTAAAGGGCTATTAATTTTACTATAAATTGGCTTAGCCCTATGAAGAATGGCTTACATGATTTTAAAGGACTTAGTAGTTTAGAGTTTGTTTCCATAGAATACTTGTTTAACCTCTTTCGAGGAAATGCAAGAGGAAACGTTGAAGGGAGAGAATGGAACAAAAACATCCCGTTACTTATCAAAAGCCAGTAAAAAACTGGGAAGAAAGGAAACTTCCAAATGATTGACCTCTAGCTATGAGACGCTGTCTATCCGTAGTACTGATAAAAATTAAAATGGGAAATAGCTGGGGAATGGAAAAAATACAACTATTAAAATTCTTAAAGGAGGGATAATTTTAACACAGGACCGTGGTGTCTCAACAGATTGCCTTTCCGTTGTCTTTATTTGTTTTAGGAATAAAAGCGCGCAATATTTCAAGACAACATTTTCTTTTTCTTGACAGAAAATATATTAAGACATCCGCGTTAATTTATATCTAAAAAGTTGCTCTTTTCAAGAAGAAAACTGATTTAACGGAAACCATAAGGGGATACTGGAGAATTTCTTTAATCTGGGATAACGACCACTTTACGATAAGAGCGGAGAATAATACAGTTCCGTCCGGAGCGAGAAATTATGCTTCTCTTGCATGTTTGCCTTACTTTGTTTGCATTACTGAGCATTTTCTACCCTACATAAATGCCAGCCTTAGACGGAATTATCGAAGTGAGTGTATTATGCATGTAAAACTATACCTGTTTGGATATAACGTGGCCTTCAAGGGCAAGTGAACTGTTCACGGTGCCAAACCATAATTAGATTTCTCGACGTTGGCTAAGTGATTTGCGATTTGTGTATCTGTCGTTTGCCTTGTTGTACGTTTATCATAAGTAGTTTTCTGTTTTTGCTTAGGAAAAGAGTAATTGAAGGTTCAAGGGAGGTCATCTTATTTATTGGCCGCTACAAGATGTGTTTCAGTTCAGGTGCATTCAGACTGACTTGGAAAACAGAAGTCTGATGCTTACGGAAGAACGGAGAGAAATAAAATTAAAGAAAATCAAATGGTAATTGGAAACCGCAATATTGGACAAATGTACTTTTCCATTTGATTTTTCGTTATATTTTTTTCCTCTCAATTTCATCCTCATGCCGTGAGCGGAATCAGTTCATTCTTACAGTTTCTACTCTTTTGATGGTATTGGAGATGTTTACTGGTCATTTTAGGCATGTCGCTATGGATTTGCTTTTTATTAGTGTTTTTGCAAGATTACTTGCCCTCTTTTTAGAATAAAACCTTTGGTCGACAAAGGAGGGTTGTTTGTGAACTTGCTGTAACGCTAGGGACTGCATGTAATTGAAACGAAAAACAAGTAAATTTATAATGCTCCATGGAGTCTTTTGACAAGTTCTTTCTCTTGAGGTAGGCTGAAAATAACCCATAAAAGTAAAAATTTTACCTTTGGTTGGAAGATTTATTCATTGTTGTGACCATATGATCAATTAGAGAATGCATTTAACGATCTTAACGGAATCGGGAAATTCTTTCAAATTGTCCTATTAAAGAAGACGTATGATCTGTTTGATTGGTAAACAAGCACAGATCACTGCGACTCTGATTGGCCCATTTATCGCACGAACTCATAGGCAAAGACAAACAAAATCTTACTAATGTTCTCCCGGATTCTCAGTGAATGTATTCAGTTCGGTTGCAAAAAATGTACATTTTTGCGCACAAGGAAATGAGGAAAGACATTTTGTCAACTGTCGTCTTTCGGCCGACGCCATGATGGATCACTACAATCATTTTGACTTCTGCGGAAAGCACGTTCCTCTTTGGGATTTATGATCATGTCAGCTGAAATCTATTGTGCTAAACGCATTACCACATTTCTCTGCGCCACCATGGTGCATTCTCCGTGCTTTTTTGACAAGCGTTATGTCCGACCCCGCGTTTGGAGCTCTACAATTTGCCCTCGTAAGACATTGATGGATCATGATGCATCGATCCTCCACACCCGACTCATACTTTTCACCGTAAACAATGCGACTCCCTTCCGGCCAGTCGCTGTGACCCCTTGAGGGCAACAGATTTGCGGATTTGTGGATTAGTGCTGTAATCATATTACAAAGTGAAACTCTAAGTGTTAGAGCCGGGCATGAAATTCCTCGATTAGCCAGCATCGCTTATCGTCAAAGCTCTTAGCATCGATTGCTGTTACCGCTGCAAACAAGATTCGACCCAAAACGCGATTTATCCAAGATGCGTTTTGCAGCTTTCCAAGTACTTATCCTCTTTTTCACAGCCACAGAGGAAACAATCTCGGGTAAGTCGCTTCTTCGCCGGGGGATTATTCACACATTTCTATCCGTTTTCAAGGGTCTTGGTTTTGTTCTCAGAGGGAAACTGACTGCGGATTCTACAAGTTTCTCTTAAGCGTTATAGTAGCAGGTCGTTAACGTGGAGACCAGCACAGTTGTAAAGACGATTTTCTGATGAATAACACTTACAGCTGAGGAACATAAAACTAATCATTTTATTCAGCAGGGAGCAATTAAGGTGTAGTTATCGCTAACATACGCCCATTAAATATATCAAAGTCTTTCCTATGACTCCATAAAACCAGAAAATAAGCTCAGAAAAACTGCTTTCTTAACGGGAATAAAGGAGGTATTTGTCCACTGTATGCGGCCATAAGGGATTGGTTTTGATAGATTCCGGAACACCTGAAAGAAATTTTAGCTATACGGTCACTTCTCAGACATGCACAAACTAAATTTTTCAGACAGAGTTGGTTTGAGTTTTAAACCAAGTATTGCAATATTAAAAGAGTTTATAGCAGTCTTTAAAACTTCTTTTAGGAGAGTTCGATTTTTGATTACGTTGTTCTAAGACGGTTTGTTTAATGTTAGGAAACGGGATGTGCGCGGTTAGCAAAAGTATTTGCGGCTCTTAATTGCAAGAGCAGACTCAAAACTCTCTACTGACAGTGAGGTGGATGTTTTTCACTCACTTACTTTATAAAGAGCCACTCTTTCCCTGAATAAAAAAAACAACCACGAAAAATTCATCGCGCGGTATAAATATTCCCATTTTAGGGCCATGATGTCGTACCTTTTCTTTTATCAAAGCGAAATGTCAAGTTATGGACACGCGATATTGCTATCGCATGTTTCATATGGTGCTGTTAATTGCCTTGGTTTTAAGCTTGAAACACAAGGAAAATACACCTAATGAAATTATGAAAATCAAACTGAACTTCATGGGTAAAAATACAGTTCGCATGCTCATTATTAGAATAATCATCATGCATGTCTCTGCTTTATATTTAGTGACAAATTCCCCCATTTAACAGTAGTTTTTGCCAGTTTAATTTCCCGATTTGACTGCATAAAGGTCTTTCAGGGACATACAAAACTGTTAACATGAATTTTTGGCCTTAAAAGGTTCTAAAATAACAGTGCCGTGATATAAGTAGAACATGGTAAATCTTTTAGTGCTAAATGGAGCTATTAAACTTTCGGTGACCCTCATGGATGCACTGATCGGAGCTTGTTTCATAGTCAGGGATGTTCAGATATTCCGTTCAAGCCAAGCTCACTTTAACCAAACGATTAGCAACAAAATGACTAAAGGTTTTAAGGTAATAATTAAGATAACGAAAGTAGACTAATAGCTGAAAGTAGACTAACTGCAGTGAGAGTTTCTTCCTGTTCTGTTAACATTTCACAATTGAACGAAGCCTTGTTAGTTTGTCCAAAATAGAGAAAAACCAAAAACCTAGCGAGAAGCTCTCTTAGAACATTAGTAAGTATTAGAGACGAAACTTTGCTGAACATAATTCTGAGAAAATTTTTTGACCTGATTTGAACGCTCTGCGCTGGTCATTTTGAAGTGAAAGACGCCTGGAAAACAACAGCTTACACGCAACAACACTGAACATGTCAAAGTTAGACTGAGAAGGTTCAATATCGAAGAAAGCAAGAATTTAGGCCACAAAAATTTTACATAGAGAACATTTTTAAAATAGGGCCTCTGTGTTTTAGATTTTCTGCTAACAAAATAGTTTTTTTAACATCTTTCATCTAGCTTCGCGGTAAAATACAGTTTGTACAATGTGTTACCCCCTTGAAGCCAGTTTGACTCCAGACACAATTACATTGAGTTTATCGGTGTTCGCACGTTATTCACGTCAAACGCGAACGTTTCTTAATCCATGAGTTCCTCTCTGAAATACGCACAAGATAAATTACTTCGAAAACGAGCAAATTGTTTCACTTTTTGAAAGCAGAAGATAACTTTTGTAAACACGCATCTCCACTCTGCAGACAATCGATCAACAGTGAAGTTGTCGGCTGCCAAACGTGATGAATTGTTCTAGACAAATCATGAGATTTCATTACCAGTTAATTAATTTTCTTTTGACAGTTCCTCCAACTTTGCTATTGTTTCTTTGTTGTGAAAAAGTAAACTCTGGTAGGCTCTAAGTGCGCGTTTTACAGTCCTCTGAAGGGTACTCAGAAAATAAGACGATGACTGAGGTAGGTACAAAGACGATGAAGGAAAAATCGGGCGATCACAATCCATGGGAAAAACAATCCGAAAGGCCAAGATTGCCCTGGGAGATCGGTACAACCAAATGACTAGACCCGAACTGCGCCTTTTTATCTTAAAGCTGGCTTTCCGAAGACAGTAAAAATCGGTATTTTGTCGAGTCATCAAATATTTCACACTCAACGCCCTCGATAGACTGATTGAAGGAAATGGAAAACTGCGTGTGTCAGTATTCCTTCGCCCAGGATTTATTTTGATTGAGATGTCTAAATAAATATTCAGTTTGTTTTTAAAATGCTTATCTTATTGCTCAGTGCTTAATATTATAGGTTACGATTTTCTTCCTTCCTTCCGAATGTGGAATTGACACTTAAATGCTTGTTTAGCCTCCAAATGGCCGGGAAATTTCGCGCGCGCGAGTACGTAAAGGCCACGGGGGCACGCGAGGACCGCTAATCGCGTCAGCTTGCAAGCTCGTTTCTTCTCTCGAATTCGAAGACCTGCTCTGACACAGCCCATTGCTTGTTAAAGATTCGAATATTTCGCTATTAGTATCCTACGACCAAACTTTTGAATGGTGGAAAGTGTAAGGGGAAAAATTAGTACCCAGTCGACTCCTCCATTGCAGGGTTGATCTATCAAATGTTGCCTTTCAAAACAATATTAAACTAATTACGATTACTGGTCAACATGTGCCAAAATGTAAACTTTGCTTGATTTAAGATAGTCTAAAACGAAAATGATGAAGATAAAATCTCCCAGTTCAATGATAGTCAATGTTCTTTTTCTCTCGAGTGGACTGGAAAATATTTTTGAACCCTTACACCATTTTATTTGTATTCCGCTACGTACCTGTATATTATCATAAACGCGGTAGAACGTAGCTCCATGGTAGCTCATAGTGCGTGTCTACACACTTAGCAACCTAGTCTTAGTACACTTCGCGGAAAACTTTAGCCTGTGTAGCAAGCGTTTCCAATCGAGTTATTGCACGAAAGTTGGGTTTCCTTCTCTCCCCTCCCCCTTTAGTCTCCTTCGCAGCCGTTATTAGGGTCGTCACTCGTCACGCAACGCTCCTCTGGGGAGGAGCGTTGCGTGACGAGTGACGACCCTAATAACGGCTGCGAAGGAGACTACTCCCCCTTTCCCTTCATTCCTTTTGTTTGCTCTCATCCCAACTCTCTAGACGCACTCGCGCGGAAACGATTGCTACGCAGGCTACGAAAACGTCTGCAGAATGCATTCAGTTTGTTTACTCTTAAACAAAACGGTCCTCTCTCCTCCGTGGAGGCCAACCTCGTCCCCAGGGCTTTTCCCTGGAAGAGACCTTTTCCCGCCCCTCCCAATTTTTTAAGGGAAAAGCACTGGGGACGAGGCTGCGCGGCTGCCCTGGAGGCTGGGGCCGGGAAGAAGGAAAACAGAAAGCGCGCGGGGCACGATGGGAAAGGGATTGAAAAGGGAGAAGGCGAGCCTATTCCCTCTTCCCATCGTGCCCCGCGGGCTTTTTATTTTTCGATGTATTGCTATTTTTATTGGGATACTCAGTGGAAGTCTCTGCGGAGGAGAGAGAAAACGGCCTGTATCGTTGTGCGAATATCTATGTTTTTTTTTTTATTTTCATAGGTTGCTTATCACCACTGGGTATGAAATCAAGGTTCATAAAAGATGGCCAGATTTCCGCGTCATCTTCCATGAGCGATTTACAGCTGCCATCCGCTGGAAGACTCCATAACACAGCGTAAGTACATCCTCGACATTAATCCAGTTTTAGGGAATGGCCTAAACGACAAAACATAGTAACAATTATTTGGTCCTTCTTCCGCAAAGTTTTTGCGTTAAGTTAAATCAGTGACTGTCGAAACGCCAGTCACTGTCGGCGGTAACAGTCCTATTCAGGACTATACTAATCTGGACGATCACATTTACTTACTTATGGCTTTAGGGCTGTGTATTCTATTGAATAACAGAAACCCTAAATGGGGTTGATTACACTACAAGTTTCTATTCAGACAGTATTAGATAAGTTTTTTTTTTGTGACATTCGGATCGCACGGAACACAGTTTGAGCGATTGCTCTTGGAAATCATGCAATGTGCCAGAAATCTACAGATTAGTCAGTCAATTGCTCGCAGATCTGACTGAGCAATCGGTATGTTGCGCAGTTTTTCAAAAAAACTGTTTGCTCTTAGCCAATGACAAGACAGATAGCGAATAGTAACCGGCTTGTCTAAGCCCCTGACGAAAGGTTAGCTTTGCTTAGCTGATAAATATGGGGCACATAAATTATCCATCCACGGCTATCTGACCAGCCTTGCGTTTTTGAGTACAACAATATGATAATAATGTCTTATTATGTACAATCTGAGGCTGTAATTCATTTCTCTCAATTGAATTTCAGAAGCTTTAGCTCTTTAGGTGGTTCGTTAGGGGCCTGGTGTTCGGATGATACAGATGGTGACCAATGGTTTCAAATTGACCTGCTAACTACTATGAATGTGTCAGCGGTTGCATCTCAGGGCTTTGGGTACGGTGGCAATTGGGTGACCCAGTACTCTTTGAACTATAGCTGTGATGGAGTCAGATGGTTTCGTTACACGCTTCAAGGAGGCCATGAAGTAAGCAATGTCTTTTCAAGTCATCCGAGGCTTAAAGAAGAAACTCTATCTGGTTGTGTAAACATAATCCGGTCATGGAACAATAACCTTTGTTGGCTTTAGTTTTTATAATGCCCCAAATTATCCCGTCCATTGACCTATTGACTCGGATAAGAATCTTTCAAAGTGCTTTAAAGTGCCGAGAATTTTATCCTCTACCTTCCAGTCTCACTAAACCTTTCTCTCCCAGAGACTCTAGAAGATTCAAAATTAGACAAAACTTTCAAATGTCCTTTATTTGTAAAAGGCTGAAGAACAAATAGTACCCTGTGAACGTAATGACAAAGACAGTTTTTCATTTTATTGATGACGCGGAAGGGATTTTCCACAGGCTCGAAAGTTAGAATCACCTTGCAAGACTCCGATCTCCCGGCGCGCTCACTGTGTCATCCCGTCTCTTGAACCACGCCCGACTTAATCTCATTACATATTGCCAAACCCTGTATCGATTGATAACGTCAAAAATCACGATCCATTTTACTTGCAGGTATTCAAGGCAAATAATGATTCTGACAGCGTGGTAACCAACAGACTTGAAGTGCCAATATTGGCTCGCTTTGTTAGAATAAACCCCCTGGCATGGAATCAGCTTGGATCAATATGTTTAAGACTGGAATTGTACGGCTGCCAGACAAACCAAGGTAATAAAAAAACATGAATGAAAAACTTAACAGAAAAAGAAAGGTCGAAAGGAATTGTCCGGATCGTTTATAATGACGAACGGCTTTGATTCTGTCGAAACGCGGCTGCCTAGTTTTAAGCTCTAAGCTCTCTTAGGCAAAGGATTACATTAGAAAAATCATGTATAAAAAGTGCTTAATTTCAGCCTTTCAGCGAGCCTGGCTTCAGTCAGGAAACGCAGCTGTTCACAAACGTACACTTCTCTTATCCTTACCTTTTTAACCAAACTACACAGTTCTTTTACAAGGGTATGGAACGCTAGCTTTTAAGCAAATGAATTTCTTATCCCGGGGGACTCCCATATGAAACAGACGGGGATGCTAGTCGTCTCGCTTAGGGGTGTAAATTTTGGATTTTGGTCTCGCTTAGGGTGTTCCGGGCAAAGCGCCAATATTTTAAGCCGCCAAGGTCTAGTTTAGGGTTCTGCGAAGAACTTGAGATTTATGACAATGCTTTTAAAAACTTCTTTAAGATAAAAGCATTCGATGATTATGTCTTTATATCATTAAAACTCATTGCATGTCGTATTTGTGTGTTTTTAAGCGGTCACTTTTAGGTGTCAAAATTTGCTTAAGCCACGCCCAGATTGGTCTCCTTTAGGGGTAACAAAAAGCTTGCGCCACGCCCAGATGGTCTCCTTTAGGGGTTAAATTCAAAATTTCCGACGAGCATCCGCGTCCGTTTCATATGGGAGTCCCCCCCCCCGGGTTTCTTATGTAAAACGAAGAAGCAGTACTACCAGGTTAATAGAGTAGTCGATCTACTTGCAGCCACACTAAAAATGTCTATAACATAGGGGATTTCCGCAAAATAAACAGTAATTTTAGGGCACAATTAAGTGAGTTAAAACTACCTTGCAACTAGTTTTCAATGGCAGATCGTTCGATTGCAACCGGCTTAAAGTACTGTAGCACCAACATAAAACCAGTGTTACGAGAAATTCTTTTTTTCCCTAACTAATCGAAGCAACAGATAAACAAAGAAAAGACATGGGCCGATAGTTGTGTTCTTGTAATTAACACAATCTGGGATCTTTTTATTTTTCAGTTTGTCCTCACCCAACACAGGATACAACTTTAGTTGCAACAACCAAGGCAGTTCCTCTTTCAAATGCTGTTACCAAGACAACACCCGCGCTAAGTGGCAAAGACCAATCAAATACATCGCCTCGGAGTCCTAGCCAATGGAGCAGCGGTAAACACGTCACAGACACAGCTGTACCCACCACTAATGCCACACCTATCGGTTAGTTCATGGGTAAATATTATTGAATGCATGGGCGTTAATCTTTGGGAGCGGAATATTCCCCGGGATTTTTTTAACATTGGATGGCCTGATATGACGAACCCCTTTATAACAAAGGCCCCGGTAGACCCGGAGGGGGGACTCGACAAATGTTTGGGTATATGTGAGCAGCTGAATGTTTGGAACCCTGACACTGTTTAGGACGAAAAAAAATCCCCGCCCCGGAAGAACAACTGACATTCGGCTATGATGAATTTTACTTGTCTCTTGGCAATTCTTACCTGTAATCAAAGATTAAAACATCAGTGAAAAACTGGCAATCAATTTTCCTAAGAGAATTTAATGCTCTTTAGATGTTAAGCCACAAGGACTGGCCAAAGTTGGTTAATCAAGCCTTAAGTTCTAAGCGAGAGGTTCCAAGTTCGGTGTGTCCTCAAATCCTTCAAAAATACTTTTCACGTTTAGGATCCAATGCATACACATGATATATTTTCCATCACACAGATCCAGGTAACCGCCCCCACCTTGCTACTAAGAATATAAGCACATTTTTTTCTGTTGCTTCTAACTCGGATTTTTTTTTTACCGTCGAAAGGTACTGTGATTTGCCAGTTTTGTTTTGGGCGGGCTTTCTAACTTTTCATTTCTACCTTATTTTTTACAGTTTGTTTAGAAGCACTCGGAATGCAGTCTGGTGCGATAAACAATTCTCAGATCAAGGCGTCTTCTTATAAAAGCTCTTGGACCAGACCATCCGAGGGAAGGCTTCACAATCAACTGTAAGCGACAAAACGATGTATTGTAAAGTGAAACACTAGCGCTGCAGGCTGCAAGGAATCCCTCGATTATTACAGCGCACACGAATCTAAAAACCGAATTCACCAATGACACAGCGGCAAATTGAGCAACGGAGGTTGTATTCAGTCCTTTACGCGCGCTTTCGGTTTTGTTTTTGACGTTACGTTGTCTTTGCTAAATCTGCCTTCTGTTGCACAGGCGCATTGCAGCATATTACGAGCGCGCGAACGAGACTTTAGGACGTGCTGTTTCCTCGCGCCCTGTTTGCAGTATAGATACCTTCACGTAGCTTGTCTGGACTGTCCCCCCGGGGGGGGGGGTACTTTAGGAATTTCTGGGTGGGGATGTGCCACTGGGAGCCTGGAACCCTTAACCTGTACCAGAGCTAGTTCAGCTGAATTTTTCTACCCTATACTAGAGTAAACTCCCCGAATCCCCCTATCCTAGAGTAGCTGTGTACCTAGTCTAGATAAAATCTTCAACCAACTGATCAGTTTCCTGAAAAATGATACCCTATTCTAGAGCCAAACGCTCTGATTTATATACCCTATCCTAGAGTAAACTGCTTGAAAACCATACCCTTCACAGCGGCACATACCTATATAGCCCATATATGGCAGTGCCCCCCCCGGGACTGTCCCATCCTCTCCTAAACTTATTCTATCCAGCGGCTTTCTACGGCAGGTACCTAACCGACTGTACCCATCGTGAAGGAAATGCTTTTTCTATAGGAAATATCAATAGAATTAAAACACAGAAGTTTAACTAATGTTTATTGAATAACTACCTATGTGGTCTCTGTTGACAGGAGCCTCCAGAAAAGGTCATTCGGAGGATGGTGTGCAAAGGATTCTGACAACCATCCCTTTCTCCAAGTGAATTTGAAAACAAGCACTGTAATCACCGCCCTGGCGACACAAGGTCTACCTCTCAGAGACAACTCAGCCTTGAGATACAAACTCAATTACAGCTGCGACGGAAAAGTCTGGTTTGAATACCAAGATGGAAAGGTGATACATTTTACTTTGGAAAAACAATGGGAATTGAACCCCGGAGGGATACTCAACAAAATTCTACACGGAGAGGCTCCGCCCAGATGTCCAACCCTTTACCCTTTTATATACCATTTTTGACAGAAAGGTACCCCTCTCATATACCTTCTATTGACATACTAGGTTAGAACAATGTATCCCCGGCTCAACTGCTGTTAATGCACCGTCTTTTTAAAAATCTGATATGAATATAATAAATCACTAAACTAAGACGTTTTCTTTTCTTTTTCACAGCCATAAAATTCATCTGTTAGCCCGGGTACTCCGGTTTTCCCCTTGCTTAAAAAACCAACATTTCCAAATTCCAATTCGACCAGGAATCAGGTAGACGAAGAACCACTATGTGGATGTGCTACCTGCAAATCGTTATAAATTAATTAATTAATTTTATTTATTTAGGTCCTTTCACAGACCGCAATGACAGATTTCCCTACCCTTTCATATACTTCATTAGTAAAATCCCTACCCTTTCATATACCTGAAGATCGAAAAAGGTACCCCTTTCTGGCGGAGCCTCCCCGTATAGGCCATCATAGGGAGTACCTCCCAGCTCTTCATCCTTAACACTAAGCTATAGGAACTCTGTTGCTGAGCAATGGTCACTACTGATGGGTTACGTTAGAACACAAAGATTTTTTTCTGTCGCTATAACTTGCATAAATTACATACTTATTTTCGAGATAAACTGTTGTTTGTAGATTTTTGAAGGACACAAAAACAACCGTGCGCGACAAAACAAGTTATCAGTCCCCTTGAAAGCTCGACTTGTGCGGATTCGTCTGTTGTCGAGAAAGCACGAGAAAGCATGTCTGCGACTTGAAATCTATGGATGTGAACAGGCCAACGCTGGTAAGTCAACACCAACAACAACAGCAACAACAACAGCAACAACAACAATAATAATAATAATAATAATATTATTATTATTATTATTATTATCACTTTAGATAGACTCGTCATGCCAGAAGAAGGGGCGGAGACCGCATGACACGTACACAACCCTATATGAAACAAAACATCATCGATTCATTTTGTCTCGTAACCTTAATCAATGCTCAACTTCTCTGCACAGCTTAGGCTATTTTACGTATTCGTCTTAAGGTGTCCCACTTCCTTATGTGTTTAAACGTTTGATTACTGTTCATCATTACCATGATGTCTCATTTTCGCCCAAGACGTCGAAACCTGGAAACGAGGATTTATTTACTACGATGGGGCAAGGGAGCGCGGGGGGAAGAATTCTCCTCGGGATGTGGAGGGGGGCGGTGGACGTACCTACCGTAAACGTTACCTTATTTCAGACCGTATTCGCTGTTGTCAAGCGACGAATAATGAAAAACCCTACTTAAAGTCGTTTCCTTGCATCAGTTACCTCTTTCCTATTGCAACCTCGGAGAAAATTTCGTGGTCGATTTTTGAAGTCAACGTTTCATGCCTTTTTCCTTGAAAATACTAAGGTACAGCACCCCTTTTAAATCTACGCAGAGATGGACAGGCATTAACGACTAGTTAGTCAATCGTTAATTGATTCAGACACACTCACTGATCATGAAGTGGTAGATATAATTGGATGAACAATTTTTGGATGCTCGCAAGGTAAAGCAGTAATTAATCGTTTTGCGTCTTCGTAACAACAGTTAACAATTGAGAGTAAAGCATCGCGTTTACGGCAGACGGCAAACGTAAATTTGTACCACGTGACCAAGTTTTCCCTTTGTTTTTAACTGTTCGGTTACGACTACACGAAAATCGTTAGATTCACGACAGCTCTATCAATAAGAATTGTTTTGAACTGTTTTTCTGTTCATTTCTTATTCTGATTATTCCTCAACTTAAATTTCATGTTTGCCGTTTGCCGTAAACGCGACCTGCGAACGGCCGCTGAGAACGCCATGAACCCTTTAAACCATATCTTCATACTCGCCCTGTTAGTAATTTGCTATCTTAATTTTCAGATTGCGGCAACAAAGATTCAATTAATTTTACCAAAATTTACGAAGAATATTCAACACAAGACCTAACGGTAACTAAAGATGCAAGTTTAACAGGGACCGTCAAAAGACCCACGAGACCAAAGGACATGATAGTAATTGTTAACGCCCCAGATGAACGTCGACTAGACAACTCCGCAGAATATAACAAAATAAGAAGGAAATTTATGTTCTTGACATTAATTACATTACTGCTTAATTTCCTTTAGTTAATAAAAGATACCAAAGCTAAATTATTTCCTGACCACACGCAATGACTTAGCCTCGGCCATCACCCCGAAAATCTTGCCCGTGGCCCGTGTAAATATCTATATTGCTAGATTTTTGATTTACGAAGCCAATATCTTAGCTTTCATGTACATAATAAAATTCCAAGGAAAACCTGATCAAGTGAAGTCAGTCTCATTTCAGCCTGCGTGTGTAGTAAGCGTTTCCTTAGGGTTTCGGAGCAAAGAAAGACCGAGGAACGACGAAGAGCAGGATTTTCGGCTTTGCCCTCCCCGCTCTTTAACTCGCCCTATTTTTCGCGCGGTATTAGACTCTCGTTCCTCATTTTCTGCTCCTAAACCCAACGGAAACGCTTGCTACGCAAGCTAGTCTTATTTAATTTTATTGTTAAATGCATATATAACCCGAAGAGCGCACTCCAGGAGAGTTTGGTTAGAGGTTTGCCACCGATGTCTATAACCCCTGACCCTGTTTAAGATAAAAAATCTTTTATTTCGCTACCCCGTTTATATTAAAACAAGAGACTTCTTTTTTTAAGTCCCTGATTCATTTTTTTCGCAAACAGAATTAAGTAATTTTTTAAAGTAACATCATGGTACTAATTTTTATGGTTATTCTTGGAGAACCGACCCGAGTGTTAACGTGACGTCACTCTGTTGTCTGCCCGTTCATCCCAACCTCTGACACCCCTCCCTCCTTTTCTGTTACAGTCATATGATATCCTATCATTGCTGCTGAAGCATTAGTGTTAAACATTTGTCACTTTGGGGGGTGATCTTAAAAAGGAAAACCTTTCCATCACCCTTCCCGCTCCCCTTGACAGAATTTCGTGCTAATAATTCCCCGACAAAGAAAAAACGCATGTTGGTAGGTCAAACACAGAAAAGAACTGAGAAGCACGCGGCTTAAGTCAACCTCGTCCCCAGGGCTTTTCCCTTAAAACGGAAAAGCCCTGGGGACGAGGTTGGGCTTAAGTTAGATTCTGGGAGACACGTGACCAGACCTAACCAGGATCTCCCGACGGGTAGGAGAGATAACCTGGGAACGAGGTTACCTTTCAGCCTGCAAGAAAAATATTATAAAAAGAAAAATATTCTATTAAGGGAACGATTTGCATCACGTGACCTAGATATTTAACCCTCTCAGAAAATGTAAGGCCCAGCTAGACTCTAACCAAGGTGCTTTCTTGGGATTACAAAATAAGTATTGGTGCTTTGACCTCCAAGTGAGTTAGTAGTTAACATGCGGTTAAGGCTTAGTAGTGGCCTATTTACGTTTACTCGGGATATTGTTTGAAGAATCTGTCTGAGTTGTTGCTAATTGAAGCAACTCCCCCTGGTTTTTGTTCGTTCCAACGTTTACAACAAGTAATTGAAAGAAAGAGACAGCCCAAAAATAAACTGGATGAGGAACGGAAAAGTTGCTTTTTTTCATTCTAGGAGTAAGAATTTTTTAACCTTAGGGCCTGTTTACATGGGGGTGGGGGACCCTAGGTAGGTGGGGTAACCCGCCTGTCCATATAATCTCTCATGTTAATTTGATCACGTTTACATGATACGTGGGGTGACCCTCAGCATGTTACCTTACCTATCTGCGATCCCCCACCTCCAGTAAACAGGCCCTTAGTTTTCAACCACTCTTTTGACTCATGAGACTTGCGGTCTGCTTGGGCTAGGCCTTTCCAGATTCTGCTCCGAAAAAGATAAAAAGTTGCTAAGAAATATGCCAAAAAGTTGCTCAAAATTGAAGAAATTGCTCATAAATTTTGTAAAGTTGCTCGAATATTTTTAAGACAGCATGTCTAATTTTGATAACAATTGCTTTGTAATCAACATTAACTTACAATTAAGTAACTAGTTAAAACAAATTAGGCAGCCTTTAGTTGAATCTAAGTGGCTAGTTACAAAAAGTTAGACAGTAAGGGTAACAATCTGGTTTACAAATCTTCGTCTTCGGAAGACAACGTGGGTACGTGGTGTCCGCCATTTTGTTTACAAACAGTCCACAGGCTACTCCAACCTCGTTCCCAGGGCTTTTCCCTTCTTGTGGGGGGTAAGAGAAGGGAAAAGGGAGAGAAGAAGAAGGGAAAAGCCCTGGGAACGAGGTTGAGGCTACCCAAACCCAATTCTTGTAATTAATTACCACGTCCACATGATACCCATTCAAAGGGTTAAAATATGAGTTTTACTAGAAAGATGTTTAAATTTTAACCAAGAGAATTTTTACTTGTTTATTAAAAAAAAAAGCGGGTATTCAGCATTTTGGTTCAAAATAGCCAAAAAGTTACCAAAAAAGTGCTAGTTTTCCGAAAAGTTGCTAGAAGTTGCTCTCTAACAAAAAAGTTGCTCAAAATCCTAAAAGTTGCTAAAAAGTTGCCGAGCAGAATCTGGAAAGGCCTAGCTTGGGTCCATTCTCGTCCCCAGAGCCTGTAGTTTCTTGCCGTTACAAATCAAGCCGTGTAGCTCTGGGGACGAGGATAGTCTGGGGAATCCTTAATCCAGGGTGCAAGATGCAGAGCGCCTTCGAGTGAATTTGTCTTCAATCTTCATGCATTAGATGCCCACCAGAGACACTGAAAATCATGGATCACGAAAAAGGCCTTGTTTTACATCACGTATCTCTTGCCGATAACTATAACCTTGACAAAACTGGCGATTTTTTGACGCAGTTACACCTCGCAACTGGTTTAACAGAAGATCAAGTGGCTAACGCGGAAGTGCTCAAGAACTTGAACTTGCAGGATGAAGATGCAACGATCAAGCAATTTGTGTTTCAAGGACAGTGCATGATTCTAGGAGACTCAGGAGCTGGTAAAACAAGCCTTGTTAACTCACTCACAGGAAAACCGTTCGATCCCAGCCAAACCAAGACTCGGAAAATGGAACAAAGACTGGTGGACGAAGACTGGAAAAACTTGGGCTTGAAGGACCTATTGCTTGGTAATCTGTGGTGGTTTCGCGAAAGGATCAGTGTACAGCTGACTTTGTATAGGCCAACAAATTCCCAAAACATTGTCCTTCGGAGCTTGACTTACTGGAGAAACGAATTTGTATTTCCAGTTACGGCATTTATAGTCTATTTCCTGCTCTCTATTGTTTTTGATCCTTTCGTATCTCCATTAGTCCTCCTGCTATTTTTATATATTATTGTTTTTTTATACCTTTTAAACTACAATCACACCTTTAGGTTAATAGTAACGACAGTTGCCTTCACTCTCAGGCTTCGTGGATTGCTGATAGGTGCTTTCTTAGCATTAATTCTAATATTCTATCATTATGAAATGATTACTCTTATAAATGCCTATGGCTATCTTTTGATTGCACTATTTTCAGGGGCACCCAACGGCAATTTTCGGGAAAATATCTGTTCGGAAGACGATTTGAGATCTACAATTTTCGGAACATTTGTTGTAAAATTTCTTGCTCGCCTGCCTCTCCTAGGATTTTCGAACATCTACAAAATGGTATAATTACCCATTTTTAACGGATTTTGACCCTAAAAAGGGCCACCTAGAATTTTCGGGAGCCTTTTCCTGGCTGAAATTTTCGAGAAGGTAAGTTTTTATCCCTATCATTTTCGGATCACTAGACTTTCAGCTAGGAAATCCGAACAGATGAAAAGTTTTTAGGGGATAAAAATATGCCTATATCTACCGTTTGAATACTAAAATACGTTCAACAATGCTATGTTAAGTGGTTTTGAACTATATCCTCGTTGGGTGCCCCTGTATTTTGGGGCCTTACGAGTGTATACATCCTTTTAAGCGTGGGAATCTCTTGGCAATGTCCGTATCCAAGGCAAATGAAATTTAAGTACCAAGGATCCCTAAATATTTTTGGATTCCTGCCAATCCTGCTTTCTGTATCAATTAGTATGGTTTGCGTTATTGCTGGAGCTTTACTCTTGATCAGCTACTACTCAGGAGTTGGTCGCTCAATAAAGGATCCTGATAAGTTTGTTCATGTCATCATGTTACTTTTCCTCCTGTTTTGGACATATGAATCATTTAAGTCAACATCTATATACATTAAATTATTACTTAAGGGGCTTGGTAGGAGAGTTTCTAAAGTTGCAGTTGCCTTTACTTCAACTTTCTTATGCATTTCAGTACTCAGTCGACTTTGGTACACGTTCGAGCATAAGTGTTTTGACAGCACAATATCTCTTATTTTCCTTTGTGACAGCCTTTTTAGAGAATGGCTGAATATGCAGGAATTAGGAATTAAAGGCAACAGGTTCACAGTAGTGGTGATAGAAAAACAAGAGCTACGTAAAGAAAGGCTTAAGATTGCTCTACGTAAGAAGTGTTCCTCAATTAAATTGAGGATCCTTGATTTTCCTGGGGATAAGGAATATCATCCTTACTATCGAATATTTCTTAGAAAAAAGGCTTCTTTATGTCATTGTATTTAACATGACTGATTTCACCGCAAAAAATTTTAGTGGAATTGAAGCCGAATGTAACAGATTAGAGTGGTGGTTTGAAACTCACTGCAGTCATGTCCCACCCAATATTCCAATCTTTCTAGTGGGAACTCAAAGAGGAGACATGGATAGGAACAACATTAAAAGATTAGATGAGCACCTAAAAAGATGCCTTTGGAGAACATACTGTGATCAACTAGTTGTAAATGACACTGAAGGTCTGATCTTTTTTCCTATTGAGAATTCGAAAGGGAAGGAAGAAAGTGGAGTTCAAGTACTTCAAGAGAAAATCACCACAGTGGCCAAGGAAAAAAAAGTCAAGGAAACCTTTGGTCGTGCAATTCCTCTGTCTTGGGTTAGAGTACAGGATGCAATAATCAACCTCAAGGAACAGAATGGCACTAAGTTCTGTCTACGCCTTGAAGAGTTTTCTAATGTACTTGACAACTTTGACAACCTCAGTTCCACCAACTGGTCCAAAGAAACCCTCCAATATTTTCATGAAACAGGTCTGGTAATTTACCTTGAGAGAGATCAAGATCTTGATCTGTCCAACTGGATACTTCTCAAGCCTGAAATAGTGGTTGATATCATTATCCAACTGGTCACACCACCACTCCCAATCAACCAGGAGAGGGGCTTGAGGCATGACTGGAATCTTTTGAAAGAAAAAGGACTGTTGACAAAATCACTCCTGGAGAACATCATCTCAAATGTAAAGGAAAATGTAGAAGCCATGACTTCATTTCTTGAAGAATATGATTTGATCTGCCCATTGGCAAACAGTAGGGTGAACATGTTCAGAGTGTGTGAAGGTAAGGAGCAGCCAACACACTTTGTACCCTCCTTGTTACCAATGGCCTCAGAAAGGGACACACCCATATGGCATGATGACAACACTGATAAGAAGTGTTATGTATTCTTCACCAAGTTCCTGCCTCAACCTTTGTTCCACCATCTGCTATCTCGTGCTCACAAGCTTACTAGGGTGGAGTTTCCTAATGGTCATACGGTTTTATTCAGAGATGCTGGCAGGTTCTGGTTGACTGCTTGGCAACCTTACAGTCTCAAGTTGATGAAGGAGGAGAAGATGATTGAAGTCACATTCAGATGTAGGTAAGGCTGGATATCCTAATGGTTTGAGCTTAGCTACATATGGTATGTTTATTGGTAGCATTTATTGCTCAATCAAAGTGTAAAATTATGTTTCAAAGGAAATAAATATAAGTATAAATGAATCTATTTTTTGGCCTATGTATGAAAATTATGTAAGGCAGGATTAGTGTTAATTTATGCACAAATTATAACTAATATTGACAATAATACCTGTACACTGGAATCAGTTACTTCCGTGGTAGGGGCTAATTCCTATTTTCATCTGTTATAAAATGAGTAACTGAGATGCTGGTCTTTTGTTGATTAGGGAAAATGATGAAGTAAGGCCATCAGATGTTCTGTGTCACGTGTTTTCCATGGTTTATGGAATCTGCAAAACGAATTTTCCT